CCCCCCCCCCCCCCCCCCCCCCCGCCCCCCACGAGAAGATGATATTTACACATAAATTGAATCAACTGAATTGAACAATCACTTTTACGGCTCATATTTATCCGAATAGGAACACATGAGTATGTATAAGAGAGTGCAAATGCATAGCAACTCAAATAAATTAATAGTGATTGATGATTTCCTCTGTCTTTCTCTTTTTTTCCACTGTACACCATTAAAATCGCCATCTTCGCTTCGATAGGGCAAGTAATTCTATCTACTTGTAAAACAGAAAACATCAATTTACAACTAAAAACCGACGAATCAGTTCATATTTACTAGATTGAACATTACATATATGAATTAAGCTCTTATGATCTATCTCGCTAGTGCAGGAGGAAAAGAACTGTAAAGAATCGATACAACGTCAATAGTAGAATTCAATATCGTTTACAATTGCTCAAACTCTTTCTCTTCACGTTATTTATTTTGTCTACTATGAATATAATAAAGATCCTTCCTATTTTTTTTTACTTAATCTGCTTACTTATTGAATGCAACACTATCCGTAAGTGGAAATTATTAAAAAGCAAAGCTTTTTTTATTACAGTATTTTCATAATCTATCTAGACTAAACATATATTGATATTGATCAATTTGTTCTATTTCGACGAAATAATTATTAGGCTTTACTAATGAAAATAAAAAGTAGAAGACGACTCATCTGTAACCTTTCTACATCAATCATCTCCATAACGTACATATAGAGGGATATGGATGCCTATGATCATAATGATTTATGCCGTTAGGATGCACGAGTACCAGATTTTTTTTATTACAGACTCCTGCTTTTGATAGTCATTTCATTGGTACGATTAGAAAGAAACAGAAATCGTTCCAGAACGCATCTTCAGATGTGAGATAATAGTTCAAGATCAATAGAGCTATTTCCCCAAAAGGGAACACACTTGCTATTTGTGTATGTGGAGGAGTACCACCAACAACAACACCATCATCACTACGATTAATATTGCTACCACCGCAGCAGCAGTCACCATCAGGATCACACAAAACAGAAGAACGGAAGAAATAAAGAAATAAAGAAAAAGAGTGATAGAGGGCGAAATCTTCCTTCTTCTTCTTCTTCTTCTTCTTCTTCTTCCTCCCTGTCTTTGCTTCTCATTCTATTATTTCTATTCTTCTTCCTAGCGATACAGAAATGATAGGAAAACTCACAGTAGTTACAGGCGTAACAGTGATGTTAGCAGCAAAAGTCGAAGTTCGCTCGTTGTATATATCTCTGTGTGTTTGTGTTGATGAAATATAGAGTAGAGAGAAAAAAAGCACGATGGTGAGAAGGAATAAAGAATACGAAGAAGCAACACGGTACATTTTTCTCTCTATTCATTCAACGTCCAACGGGGCTGTTCTCCTCGAGCCTCAAGCAACATCCCTCATTATTATTGTGATTATCGTGTTCGAGCTATGTTACTGGTAGACACACCCGCACATACACACACCATTGGCACGCATGAAAGAAAAGAAGAAAAGGAAAAACTGAGAAGAAGAGAGTGAGTGAGAGGGCGAATATGCACACTTGATAGTATTGAAAACAAAATCAACGACAACAACGCATAGATCTCAAATACCACTACAAAAATGATATTTTTTATTTATGTTTTCAGGTAGTTAGATTAATTTTGTTCTTTATTTTATTGTTCTTTAAGTATTTTAATTGAATCTATATTTGTCTTGACTAATTGGATCACATGAATATTAGGGTTGATAGGAAGACAACGAGAACGAGAGCGATAGATACTAAGAAATAATGACAGTAGGAGATTCAAAAAACAGGTGCCGACAACAGCGTGATTCTGACTAACGAAGACGAAATGGAGTGTATATGGCTACAGCCGGAAATTACAAAAAAATATTGTGTTGCAAATCTGTGGATAGTAGCAAGCTGAATGAATGAATGAATGGAATGAATGAATGAATGAATGGACGAGTGAATGAATGAATAGTTGCTTTTGTGTGCGTGTATATGACTTTGAATGAGACGCTAATAGAATGTCGATGTGACAGCAGTAGAATGATGCAGAAAAAGAAAGCATTCATTGTAATAGAAATCATAGCTAAGGTTTATAACCAATATATGTAAATGAGATTCGAAATCGAATGATAGATAACGAGAAGATATAGAAAAGTCAACTACTAATGACAGACGAAGAAAAAAAAATGATAAACAGAAATCAAAAGATCTATATGGTGAGTGTGTCATTCATGAACTGAATCAATATCCGTGATAATCATCATTCCAGAGATAGTTCTTTTGCAAACATAAGTCTATTCTAGAGTTGTTTCTGTTTTCTAACGCGCCGGGTGTCTTCTAATTTAACTGTTGCCTTTCCAGCCATATATATATATATCTGATGAAGATACATATACATATAAATCTGTGTGTGTGTGTGTGTGTGTGAGAGAATGAAGAGAAAGACACACACTAACATGCGCATAGAGGAAATCAAGACGACTCATTGAGAATCAAGATAAACAACAAAACTAAATTTTTGCTATCTTATCTCATATTGCTCCCATCATTGAGTCGAATATTCGACAACGTTGACATCATTCTAGACATATTTTTTATTTCCACATTTAGTATCAAGCAATAAATAATTATTCATATGCATATCTTTCATCGCTGGTAATCATTAAACGCAACATTTGGAAGCATTTGTTGTTCGGGTTAGCTCATGTACAAATCCAAGCTCTAGCAATTCATATCATTCTCATGGTAATCTTTTTTATTATTGAATAAGTTATGAACTCTGGAAAAAATAGTGCTAACAATAATAGCAACAACGGTATTTTATCCGCTGAGGCCCACACATAAGATCCGATGCCATAAAACGAATAGCCAGATGGTTTCCATATGAGCAAGATGGAAAAATATACATGAAGAATGCAACATCCACTCAACATTTGACCTTTTCAAGTAAACTTTGGCATTTGAAGGACATGGCAAGAGAGTATCTAAGCTATTCCTCTGGGATAAATTCATTTCTTTGGCTACCTTTTTCTTGTTTTTTCTTTCTCTCTTTTTTTTCTTCGTCTTTAGCTTTTTTCTTCGTACATCTTCTCTTTCTTCTTCTTCTCCTTCTTCTGTTACTTATTCCTTCTTGTCTCTCTCTCTCTCTCTCTGTTTCTATCTCTCTTGTCTTTCTATTCTCTGTGACTCTCAACAAGAGCTTGTCGTGTAATGTGTCATAGAAAATCACGTAGAGCATCAAATTAGTCGATGATGGTGCCACACAGCAGCTACAAGACAACGAGTAAGAAAGAGCGAGCTGAGCAACCGAATACACACAAGCATTTGCACATATTCAGACCAGAAGATAGAGGCAACGAAAGGCGATCTCAAAACAAATTCTATTCGAATATATTCATCATGATTTACATGTTAACATATTAATTAAACAAGAAACATTTTTTTTGTGTCTCATTTCAGATGACTTGAATAATAAAGAGATCTTATTTTTTTATTTATTACAACAACAGCAACAACGTAGTCTGGTTTGTTGAAGAAATAGAATGTCGAATTTTCGATAATCGAGCGAGCAATGCCACAACTTTGGCAGCCGATCATCCATGAATCGATTTGATTGGAATAAACTTTCACCGGACGAATTCGAACGTCTACAAGAATATATTTCATGTAAGTATACAATGATGATATATTTTCGCCTTAAATCAGTCCATATGTATGTTTTCAAAAGATGACAGACCCTATTTTCCTACTATCATCACTTAATATGTTTTCAATGAAAATAAATCTATTTTTTATTCATCTATTAAGATGCGCCTAAAAAAGTAAAAGATGTTGTCGCTATTCTTCAACAAGATCCCACCTGGTTAGCGCATCGATATGATGAGGTACAGTTTAATGTTCTTTACTGATTTAAAACATTTCGTTCTAGGGACTTTTTTCTATTTTTTTTTTGATTAGCAACTTGACTATCAAGGTTTTCGACAATTTCTCGAATTACTTGTCGACAATTCTGATATACCAGAAGATCTATGTCGACATTTATTTTTATCGTTCATTAAAAAACCTGCAGCCGTCGTACCGAACGACATACCATCGACTATTGGCGCTCTTCCACTTGCTACTACAGGAATACCATCAACCACAACGACAGCCATTTCATCTGGCCCATCAGGAACCATAGTATCAACAACAGCAGCAAGTCGAACATTTGAAATTGCTGATAAATTACCCGGTTTTTCATTTCTACCCGAAAAGTTCTTCCGACCAAAACGAGGTCTTCCTAATTTCGCCGATGATATCAGTACAGTCGGATCAAATGATTCCAAAGCTCGAAGTGGTAACAACAAATGACTTCCTATCATCATTTAGAAAAATCTAATCTTTAGGTATATGCCGTACTGGAAAAGAACGTCTTATGCGTCGAGGTAATTCACATGATCAACACCCCGATTCACCTGACAATTCTCGGCAATCATCAAGAAAATCCAATCCTTCTATCCATTCAATTCATTCACTACACAATACTGGTATTTGAATTTAATGTTTTTCTAATTATTTTGTTTTTCGAACAATTTACATCACTTTAGCTGTATCAGCCGTTACAAGCTCCGATGATCCTTGGGTATTTCGTACATCATTATCGCAATTATTGAATAAAATCTCTGGCAATGATCTAACACGTGATGCTCATCATCATCATCATCATCATTACTTGCCATTTCATTCTCATAATCATTCAAATACACAACAACAACAAGCCGTTATGATTCAATCGCCACCTGAAATCGATATAAATACAACACGAATACAAGTGAAAGATATAATTTGTTATTTTTCATTACTTGAAGGCGGTACACCAGAACAAAAACTTGAATGTAAATTGATGCGAACCAAAAATAGAAGTTGTTTTCATTGTCTAATTCTATTTTAGTTATGTTTATGTTGTACGATGAAGATAGTAATGGAATACTTGATAAACAGGTTTTGAAAATTAAATCTCTAGGAAAACATACATGATACAATTGTAAGATTTGTTTTTTTTTTGCAATTATAGGAAACCGATTCAATCGTTAATCAAATGATGAATGTTGCTGAATATCTCGGTTGGGATGTATCTGAATTAAGACCAGTAAAAAATCTAATTGAATTCATCCTTTTCGATATAAATGTATCGTTATATGATTTATTTTTCATTAGATTCTCGAAGCGATGATGAAGGAAATCGATTATGACAACGATGGCGCTGTTACATTAGAAGAATGGAAACGTGGCGGATTAACAACTGTACCTCTACTCGTTCTACTTGGACTCGATTCAGTAGGCAGCAGTTTTCAGAAAGAACTGCATAAATTATTATTTATTTATTTTCTTTCAATAGAATGTACGAGACGATGGAACACATTCATGGCGATTGAAACATTTTAATAAGCCTGCTTATTGTAATCTTTGTTTAACAATGTTAGTTGGTTTGGGAAAACAAGGTTTATGTTGTACATGTAAGTTTAATTTACAAAAAAATCAAAGTTCATATCCATATGTATCCATGTCGATATGTTTAGTTTGCCGATATGTTGTACACGAACGATGCGCTAATCGAGCGCCCGCTAATTGTATATCGACATATGCTAAAACTCGCAAAGTTGACACAACTATGTTACATCATTGGATCGAAGGCAATTGTCCGGGACGGTATTGAAACGATCAATGAATCTCTATGAGTATTTTATTTTTATTTGAACAGATGTGATCGATGTAAAAAATCAATTAAAACCTATAATGGTATAACAGGCCTTCATTGTCGTTGGTGTCAAATGACAATACATAATAAATGTGCATCACAGTTAAAGCCCGAATGTACGTTAGGTCCCAATCGAGATCATATTGTACCACCATCATGCATTTGCCCAGCTGTTTTGGTAACTATATAAAATCAATAAATATCCATACGTATTTGATTAATTTAGGAACGACAAAAACCATCGCGAACTGGAAATGGTCTCAAAGCAGAAGAATCGTGCAATGAAGGATCAATACAATCCTTTCAAATAAATCCCTTACCAAATACACATCCCCTATTGATATTTATTAACCCGAAATCGGGTGGTAAACAAGGCGAACGGTAATTCGAATCAAGATGTTTTTGTTTTGAAAAGCTCGACTGTGTTGTATTTGTTAGAATAATGCGAAAATTTCAATTTTTATTAAATCCTCGCCAAGTTTTTAATCTAACAAAAACTGGCCCTATGCCTGGGTAAATTCTATTAGAATAAATTTTCAGAAAACTTTACTCGTTTCTTTTACTTGTTAGATTTCAATTTTTTAAAGATCTAGAAGATTTTCGTGTTCTTTGTTGTGGCGGTGATGGTACAGGTAAAATAGAAAATCAAGTTTTGGTTTGAAAACAAAATCGCTTTTATATGTTCTTGTTATTTAGTTGGTTGGGTACTAGATGTTATGGATCGTGTCCAACTGGCTCGTCGAGCACCAGTTGCTGTTCTACCGCTTGGCACCGGCAATGATTTAGCTCGATGTTTATCATGGGGTGGCGGCTATGAAAATGAAAGTTTAAATAAAATACTTAAGAAAGTTTCACAAGCACCGGTGATCATGCTCGATCGATGGCAAATTGAATTTAGCACCCGAACAGATACAGAAGAAAAGGGCGATGATATTCCATATAATATAATTAATAATTATTTTTCTATCGGTGTTGTAAGTGTTTTTTTGTTTTTCTAAATTGAGTTGAAAGTAAACGCCAGATCTATTATTTTAATTTGAATCTTCATAGGATGCTTCAATTGCTCATCGATTTCATTTAATGCGTGAAAAGCATCCAGAAAAATTTAGTAGCAGGTTTGAAATTGTTTTCTGTTTTGTTATTTGAATAATATTTCATTACAATTGATTATTTCTATAGGATGAAAAATAGATTATGGTATTTAGAGTTTGGTACATCAGAGGCTATTTTTTCTACGTGTAAAAATTTACATGAAGATATCGATATCATGGTAAGGATTAAAAACAAATACAGTTTTACATGTAAGACATACAAAAAAATATGTTTTAGTGTGATGGTGTGTCCTTGGATTTATCGAATGGACCATCTTTAGAAGGCATTGCACTATTGAATATTCCAAGTATTTACGGTGGAATATCTCTATGGGGCGAAGGCCATCGACATAAGAGTCGTAAAAATCCATTAAAATTACAAAGAAAAGATTCGTATGTTTTTCATCTAATTTAATAAATTTTATTATTATTGATGCGATATGCTTGTAGTGAATATTCAACGAGTTCGACGTCAGATATAACTTTTGTTTTACAAGGTTTTAAATCAACTTTAATATTCAAAATAGAATTTAAATAAATATTGTTCTTTTTTTCTAAAAGATATTGGCGACAAATTAATAGAAGTTGTAGGTGTACAATCAGCTATTCATGCGGGCTCTATTTATGCTGGTGTTCGATCAAGTGCAAAACGACTTGGTCAATGTTCATCAGTTGTTATCAGGTAAATAAAAATAGAAATAAGAATATTTTCTTCAGTAACAACCATTGTTGATAGAACCCGCAAAAGTTTCCCGATGCAAATCGATGGTGAACCTTGGCTTCAACCACCGTGTACGATTTCAATAACACATAAAAATCAAGTTCCTATGTTAATGGCACCACGAAAAGAACGAAAAAATAGTCTATGGCGTTTATTTAAAAAATAAAAGTCGGGAAAACTGTGATAATCTGGTTATGATAAAAAAAACACACAATATCAAACATCTGTTTCTTCCTTTTATTTTTCATCGGCATCTTTTTTCTTAACAGTGATGTTTCTAGTCTGATAGATATTATTCTGCATTACGTCAATGTGCGCATGTGGAATGCGTGACATTCTACAAAAATATATTTCCTACTACGTGAGTACATCGGAATTGTATATTTATGTCAGACAAAAATCTAGCAATCGTTAGCCGGAGTAATGATAGTGGTGTTTTATTTTATGCTGCTTCTTATGTCCTATGATCATCGCCTTATATTGTATCCCTGTTTGTTTTCTGAAAAAATATCTATGTGTCGATTTTATTGTATTTTGTTTTTCTTCTTCTTTCAATGGCATGCATCGAGAATGGAGTTGAATAAAAAGAAAAAGAAAATTAATGTGGACATCCACGAAAAATTAGAACTGGGTCAATTTTTGATTTGCGTAGATTAATCAATTGATTTGTACGATTTGTTTTTGCTAATGATGCTAAACGCGATCGATTTGTTGATTGGAATAAAATGAGTACACTTAATGACATGGAAATAAGATAAATGATAAATAGAATGCGATCAATGACAACAGCTGTTTGTCTAGCAGATTGTTTTGCGTGAGATTTAGGATTAAATAATGGATGACGAAAATCGAACGATGACAATGATGTTGCTGTTATAACTGAATTTCGTCGGCTGAATAGATTTGTTAGTGATTGTCGAAAATATTGTATATTATGCAATAATTCTATACCGTGAATATTTGAATTTTCAGGTAAATTCTCGCCGATATTACGACGTTTTCTCAAGAATATCCAACGTTGTTTATTTAATTGCATTAACGATTTATGTACTGTTAGTAAAATGCTTTTCTTACGTTTTGGAGCTTTATGTTTTTCAGAATATTGATCATGATAATAGATAAATATTGTAAATGTATTGAATATACATGAGAGAAAAACAAGGATAAACACTATATTGGAATATAGTGTTAATGTACAAAACCCACGTTCAGTTTTTGGAACAAAATTCGATATCATTTGCAGATAGATAATTAACGAAAGTAAGATGCTTACGGTCAGTGTTATTTTTTCACCACTACCTGTTGGTAAACAAAATGAAAATACAGCAACGGATGATATAATACCAAATGGCAGTATAATTTTCAGTACATAAAAACGTGAAAGTCGCACAAGCTCCATATCGATTTTAAGTGTACTAAAAACGCGTTTATGATTTGGATTGTACAAATCAACTTCATCAATTGTTGTATGCGAAATTTCCCATTCGGTATTAATATAATTATACAAGCGTACAACATTGTATAGACTACGTAATTTGAATTGGCTTGTATCAAATATAGTCGATTGTATTAGAATAGAGCAATATTGACGATCGAATGGAAAATTCAATACATCAATCTCACAATACGAAACAAGTTTTTCCTGATATGACCATCGAGCCATGCCTGTGCATACAACTAAAATTGGATATTCAAGTCTGGCTTCTTTTTTCATCGGTCCCGGTCCATTTACAGCAGATATATCGGGTGTCCATATTTCGTCAGCCTGAAAGAATATTTCCGAACGATTTCGTTTTAGACATGTTTGTTCAGTTATATTCCATTGGAGAAGATCATCACACCATTTCAGTTCGAAATTAACATTCAATGTAATAACCTTAATTTAGAAAGATTGTACTTCATATTTTGGCTGCTTTCGAATCAAAAATATACAAATCGTAGTACAAACCTGCTTTTGCGGATCAATGCCTGCTACTTCAATAACTCCTAGACCAACAGCAACTATGGTGTGACTAGAATTTTTCATTGATGGTCGCGTTAGCATGTCATGTACATAACGTTCTGTAATTTCCAATCGATTTAATAGAATTGCACTATAGTTTTTTGCCTGTTTCGTTCCTGACACATTTATTAGTACGAGAAGAATAAATCCATATGTTGACTGCATACTAAGATTGTTCTCTTTTCACCGAATGAATTTGATCGAATAACTCTAAACACAAAAACTATTCCTTCATTTCCATAATCTCATAAAGAACATGATGCGCAACATATTAAAAGAAAAGATTGTCTCAAGCAGAAAACATAGAGACAAAAGAAATAAGCATATTCTATTTCAATGTTGACAAGTTTAGCATTCATTCTCTTTGGTTTTTTTCTCACAATGGGGAAAAAACTAATTTATCCTAGCGAGTACTGATATTTTCCTGCATTGAATTCGGGCTCTGGTGATAATTCAATGTACAATTTCGTTGATACGCATCAAAATGTAAGGACAGAAAGAAAATTGCGTTTCTATTGGTTTATATGTATTTAACATTAGACGTAACGGCACGAATCGCTTGTTCAATATGATGAGTAATATACTAATCAAAACACTTTGACAACCTATTGATGAAAGAAATGATCAATAGCTTGTAATAGATACTGTGGTATTTGAATTTAATGAAACTCCAGAAATCTATAAATAAAAAAACAAATGTAATTATTATTCAAATTATCATAGAGGAAAATATTCTAATAAATTAGAAATCTGTCATATATTTCTGATTGTCCATATCAATCTATTGTAAACAAATAAGTGATGCAAGAAGAACATGACACTAGAAATGTAGTGAGACTTCGAAAATAGAATCTGAAGCAAATGTCACAACTAGCTGTTCACGTCAATCATCTGTCTATGAACATGAATCAAAATCGACAGGAAATAGCTTTGAACTTATCATCGACGAGAACAGCATCAATAGTATATAATACACGAGAATTTCATTTCTTGAGCAGTGGCGAATCTTCCACCAACAGTAGTAATTAGAAAGGAATAAACTTAAGTATTAGTGAAACTGACAGCGCAAATCATTCATTATACTATGAATAGAAATAAGGGCACTGTGTTGACTAGTTGCAAAGAACAACGCTTTCTCACGATTAGAATGAACATTACATGCGGTACGATGGTATATGTTAAATGATGTATCATTATAGAAATGAAGATAAACTACGGTTTTTTTATTCTGAACCATAATTGCATCGTGCATGTGATATTTTAGGCCTTTTGTTTTTTGAAAATAGAGCGACCCTCAACGGAATATGAGAAGAGCTAAGCTATGTTGATAACGACAAAACAAATCAAATCAAATTATATTATACCACGAACAGGTGCATTCATTTCTGTCGATCGCAGTTCTTAAGATGAGGATTAGTGGTGTTACCTATAAATACCTGACCTATTCAGGTTTCTACAAGAAAATCCGGCACAAGAAAGATTTTTCATATATAATGAAGTCACAGACTGGTATAGGTAATTGTTTCGAATTGAAAATAATTACGTAGTAGATATTTCTAATTGTGAAAATAGCTCTGACGAATGCACTTCTATTGTTATTGATTTCGTGTGGTAGGATAACCATATAAATGCATTCCATCGAGTATTTCTGTGTTAATTAGAATCGGCTGCACTCTATCAAAACTCGATCAATTGGGACAGTCGTACTCATCAACAAACATACACAGATGTCATGGCTAGATCGGATTTTGGTTCAGTCACTGGATGGCAGAACAGCCGTGCCATGATATCAAATGGTGGTTTACGTATAACAATCGAGAAAAATGCTCTTTCAGGAGCTGGAGGACTTATATCAAACACAGGAATTCCAGGTGGTACTGCTTATGAATTAGATTTCGATGTTAAATTTCACAGTCAGTTTGATTGGAGCCGTGGCGGGAAAGTTGGCTTTGGCTTTGGTGTCGGAAACGGGAATACAGGATGTAATTTACCAACTGATGGCGCAGGTGGTAGTTTACGTTTAATGTGGTACAATAATGGAAATCGAGTCTACTTTCATCCATATATTTATCATTTTGGTATGCCTGGACCTTGTGGAAGTAATTTTGGTAAATCTTACCCATCAACAGGTATGAATACTCAATCGGGAAGCATCATTTGAAGTAGAGTATCACTAAACAAGAGTTGATCATATAGAATTGTAAAATATTTTCATCTATTTCACTATCCGATTAAACTTTGTGCATTTCTTACGAATAGGTAGTCTTCAGAAAGGCCCGTGGTACAAAGTTCATATGTATATCAAATCAAATACTGGTAGTAATACCAATGGACACGTGCAAATAAAAATCAATGGCGAGACACTGATTGATCAAAGTATCCGTTGGACAACAAATGACAGTAAGCGATTTATCAACAGGTTATCTTTCCATACGTAAGTTTAATCAAAACGTCTAGGTACGCTTTCGTTTCAAATCGTGTTTCCTTTTGTTTTCTAGTTTTCGTGGTGGAAAAGCAGACGAATGGAAATCTAATACTGATGGCTATATTTACTATGACAATTTGTCCGTTCGACAAATCAGCGCATAAATAAACTCTAAAATTCTAGCATCGAAGGACAGCAAATTAATAATTTGAAGTTATATTTTCCCCATGTTATGTGCTCGAAGAAGACGCTCTATTGTAACTGTTCATGGAGTTCGAATAAAACTTCAAATAAATACGTCACAACGTTCATGACTTGATCTTTTTCTTTTCTAGAAGTAATGTTAGTGTAGATGATGGTCTACGTAGCAATCCAATGTGCATTTGGTTAATATCAAAGTCTCATATTCGTTTATTTGACTAACATATGACCTAGAAAATTTCGAGCGACTGAACATAGCGTTTGATTTCTTCATTGCAAAGTCGAGATATTTATCCAAGAGACATTTCTAAATTTAAAAAAAGGCACAAACAAATAGTATAAGTGTTCATTACTCATTTTTATCATCAAATAACTTTGTGATAAAAGTAATTACGCACAATTAATTCCAGCATATGTCACTTTATTTGATACGAAATTCGTATTCAAACATTTTTTCTTTTCTTCACTGAGTTTCTCTAGAGGCTGTTTATTGATCTTACAAGAACTTCGTCAATTCTCAATGAACGAGTCGATAGAGAACAACATCTGAATACACATAAACTTAGGAACAGCATCATATAAAGAAAAACAAAAGTAATTATATATGTTTATCAAAGATTTTATCAGGCACATTAGTTTCATTGGCATAAAACTTCTAGTAGCGAGGATTCAAATTTCTGAATATCATGAAATGGAAAGCAAGAATATTTGATACAATGAAGCCTTTCACATCTAGAGGTAATTGTTTCTCTTTTCAAATATAATTCATTTCATCCAACAATAAATTAGTTGCAAAGAATATATTCTTCTTATTGTTAATTACATATGGTACGTGAGAAAATATTCAACCGATCATTTCTGTGCTTTGTTTCATTAATTAGAATCGACTGCACTCTATCAAAAATCGATCAATTGGAACAACCGCGTTCATCAACGAACATATACTGATGTCATGGCTAGATCAGATTTCGGCTCAGTCACTGGATGGCAAAACAGTCGAGCCATTATATCAAATGGTGCGCTACGTATAACACTCAAGAAAAATGCTCTTTCAGTAGCAGGAGGACTTGTGTCAAATACAAACCTTCCTGAAGGATCTGCTTATGAGCTGCAGTTCGATGTTAAATTTCACAGTCAGTTTGATTGGAGCCGTGGCGGGAAAGTTGGCTTCGGTTTAGGTATCGGCAATAGAAATACAGGATGTAGTTTACCAACTGATGGAGCAGGTGGCACTCTTCGTTTAATGTGGTACAATACTAGAAATCAAGTCTATTTTCGTCCATATATTTATCATTACGGAATGTCAGGACCTTGCGGAACCACTTTCAATAAATCCTATCCATCAACAGGTATTGTACTTGACAGAGAATATTTATGTGGCTCGGAAACTTTCTCACATCCAGTTTAGCATTTTGTTAACGATAGGTTTTTTTTGTATTCAGGTACTCTTAAAAAGGGCAAGTGGTACAACGTATACATGTATGCGAAATCAAATACTGGTAACAATCCTAATGGACATGTCAAAGTTCTGATCAATAGTACAACACTGATTGATCAAAATATTCTTTGGACAACAAATGATAGTAAACGTCTCATCAATAATTTATCTTTTGCGACGTAAGTTTAATATCTATTTCGTTTTCTTTGTAAAAAAAATCGTTTTGTAAACTGCCTTAGATTTCGTGGTGGAAAAGAAGACTGGTGGAAATCTGATACTAATGGCTACATTTACTATGACAATTTGTCAGTTCGACAAATCAGTACATAAACAAGTTTTTCCTGTCTTATCTATCGTATAAACTTTTAAAATAATGTTTCGAACCACGTGTTAGGTGATTCGACGGAACTTCAAAATATGTACCTAACAATACAACATTCTATTCAATATAATATTTGATAATAACTTTCATAATGCATCCATCACACGAGCCATTTCTAAGTCTATTTACTGTTTTTTTAGGACGTAAAATTGCTCTCGAGTTGATTTAAAAGGCACAACAAACAGTTTAGGTGTTAGTCTGTATTTGTCGTAGAAAACATATCGAATATACGAATTAATGGAAAACGTTTAGTGTGAATGTGAAAGTAAAAATTATACAGTTAACATTTCTCGGATTGATTTAGCATCATTTTCAATTATATGGTTTTAAAAGGATCAGTGAAATTTGAAACGGCAATATTATCAGATAGATTACAAAACGCAGGATTATATTAGATTCTACAAAGGTACTTTCTTAGTATTGGTTGTCTGCGCAGCTGTTGACTAGATTTTACGCTTTTTCGCTAACTGAAAGCTCTATTAAGAAACTATAGTAGAAAGATGATTAAAACCTGAATCACAGCATTATTGGATCCTAGGGCGAATATAAATACGCTAAAGGAAGAAGAGAACATAATTATAAGAAAACCTTGAAATTACTGTTGGAATTTATTGACAAGATGATCGATAGCAACACCTAATATGTTTTTGCGTGATGTACTTTGACTCACTAACACTAATGCTTTCCAGTTTTAACAGCCATGCTCCATGACTTACAGTCGATGAAGTCAAATACAATATCATCAGTCCGATTTTGAATGGCATTCAATAAATCATCTACTGATAAAAAACAATCTCCATATAATATGGCCTTTGGTTGACTTACTAATAGCTCTGGGATTTGGAGCATGTTTAATGGATATTGATACTCGTTTAGGTGAAATAAACATCCACACTTACATTCGCATTCTCATTTTCATAAGCATATAAATTCGAACTCGTCTACCATTCTATGTATAATAGTTTAAGCTGAACTGTATCATAAGTCCAATATAGTAAAAACAAATTGTTTTGCATAAATAGGTACCGGAATATTTAATTAATGCTTATAATTCAGTAGCTGAGTTTTTCTTCAAGTAGCTATGAATATTTATTATACGGCATTTGAATTGAAACAGTTATCGGCTAGGAGAGATTTGCACTAACCAAGTTGAAAACAGTATGCTACAAATTTTATGCAGTCATTCTGATTTTTTTCAATTTTAATATGGAAGTCAACCAAACTACAAGTGAATATCTGAATAACGCCATTTCATCGTGTGTTCATTTATATTTCGCACTGTCTCAATCGAAAGGAAATGATTCAATAATTCAATAATACCATTTTTTTAAAGCATACACTTGGTATTTATTTTTCAGGTAAGTATAACAGGCACACAGGAAAAAATGCAAATGGTTATTTTCAATTGATTTTAATCTTGAGAACAACAAAGAAAATAATGCATTACAAGTATAGTCAATATTTTGATGGTTGCTTTTATCTAAAGATTAGAACGAGAAAACATGAAAAGTATATTACTGATTTATCCTTTGCTCTTTACCGCAGTTAATTCTCAACTATCGTGCGATGATGTATCATGCATTGATCGAGTTGGATGGGGTGCACAAAAATCAACTGCAATAACAAATTTAACGAGTCAATCTCTGTCATTTTATGTTATTCATCATTCTGCGAGTCCACCGTAGATATCTTCTATATAAAATCATTGAAATAAATCTATTATTTATAGTTGTTATGATGATGTCTCATGTGTGAAGCAAGTCAAAGGAATTCAACATTATCATCAAATTGATCGAAGATGGGCCGATATTGGTTATAATTTTTTAGTCGGTGAAAATGGAAAAGTTTATGAAGGTCGAGGATGGAATCGTGAAGCTGCTCATTCGCTCGGATGGAACAATGGCTCATACGGTTAGAAAACAATTTTATCTAGAAATTATGTGACGCATTGACTTTTTTTCGTTCAGGTATTTGTATTATTGGTGACTTTACAACGGCATCTCCAAATGAAAAAGCATTAAATGCAATTCGTTCATTGATGGATTGTGGTATGAAAAGTGGTCATGTCAAAGAAAATTATTATATTATTACTCATCGGCAATCGCAACGGCTCGGCTATACAGACTGGTAATGTTGGTCTTTTTCTTTACTGTAAAAATATCTTTTTTAATTTCTACTTAGCCCTGGCAATGGTATGCTGGATGTTGTAAGTAAATGGCCTCGATACTGTTCATTTCAAAATTCTGGAGCTTCTTTAGAGACGAATCAAGCACCAATATCTCTTGCTCTTGATTTTTGTGAAAAAGACTTTTCATCTACTGCATCTTCTTCGGTATATTCCATTACGTCAATGATTTCACATTATCTGTTATTATTCTATTTTTTGTAAACAACAATTTTTTGTTCAGGATCTTCGAAACTTTATTTAATAAATATAACTTCGAAAAAAAACAACTTATATTGTCACAACTAACCATATATAAATAATTCTAAATTTGGTATGAACGATAGAATGGCATTAAGAAAATGTTCAAAATTCGATAGGCAAGAAGAAAATTATAATGTACAACTTCATAATATGGTAAAGACGTTCGCGTCGTCCTTAAAATATTTTTTTTATGTTGATTATAAAAAAAGACATACAAACCAACGTATTCAATGTTTTCCCGGACAATTCGATAGTATGAGGGTATGATATTCATATGAAAGTTGAACTGTGATCTCTCTATGTCCGATAGAACAGCGCAGAGCATGATTACAGCATCGATAAACAATTAAAATAAGGTCAATATTGAATTCCTTTCTAAATGTATGTTTTAGCTTGAAATGAAATATTTTGTTATGAGCTCAAGTAAAAATCCAGAAAACGAAATTCAATTTAGTGGCTCAAGCTAAAGAAATGTGACAAAAATGCTTTACAAAATTATTCCTTGAAATTGAAGTTTAGCTTGAAAATCATGTTCATTAAAAACTATTCATTTATGATTCTATTATTGTCTGATCGCAGTAAGTATTAAATGATCATTCAATAGATACGTTCGGATCCTTTGCTATTGCACAATGTACATCTCTCGAGAGATTTCGATGGTGAAGATGCAGCATAAAATTTAAAAAGTAATAATCATGAAGAAGTTATGCTAATATTTTATTTGGATTAATAACTTGATTTACAATTTAGATTCTAAGATAGAAAATCACGTCAAAATGTTGAGTGAACGAGAAAATTGTGATGGTATACGAACATGAAGTGTATTACGTGTAACTTGATCAGAATCGATAGTAGGATTTTGATATTTTTCACAGACATACGGAATATAATTGAGAAGATTTTCATGAGCATATGTAGTGATTGAATTTGGTTCAATACGAATTGGTGTTGATGAATTTGTATGATGATTTTCTAATGTATCCAAAAGTAAATGACGAATGTTTACTGAAACAGGTTGACCAGCGAGAACTTGTTCGTTTGAAATATCAATTAAGAACATATCAATTGGTGCAGATACAGAACGTTTTACTAGATGAGAATTGTCATCGAAAGTTTCTTCAATTGATTCTTCATTTTTATTATCTGTTGTCATCGATGATTCAACATGTCTTGATGTTCGATTAGACTCAAGACGACATTCATCACCAGTAGTTTGAATAATATCGGATGTTGATGCTACAGGAGAAAGATCAGCAATATTTGTTGTTAGTATTGTGCGCGAACGATCTTTATTAAAGATCGATGGTGGCGCTGGTATATCTATATGATTATAAGCTTGAGCCACATAGGGATTAGAATGACGAAAAGAATCATTGTTTTCACCATTATAAGGTAAAAAGAATGGTCTTGAAAAAAGAGGAAAATCTGGTTGTCCTCGTATTTGTTGATTCGGTGGTAAATAATAATGGTAGCCAAATGATGAACTATGTGTCGGTTCACGACTCATTGCAGAACATTGTGTATAATCACTTGATGGACTCGGTGATGCACTGATTGTTTGAGTATAATCATTGAAAACGATGGCATTATGCTTACCTCGTTTTTTAGGTTTACACATTGATGATACCACACCCATACGAGATATCAATACGCTTGTTAATGCTTCTTCTATGAACAAAGCTGTTCTCTCTCCACTAACACCTAGCTCTTTTCATTTAATCCAAGGAGAAAAGGACCAAATTTTTCTTATGTGCTACTTTGATCAATCTGCCGATGCATAGCCATATATATATATATATCAGAGTAGCACAAAAATTGAATGCATATTTAGAAGAGAGCGAAAGAGAAGAACAGGAAGACACGTCTTTGCCATCTCTCTCTCTCTCTTTATGTATAGATCCAACAACAAATATACGCGAATGCATGAATACAATGACAAAGACATTCGACACCAAACTACTTCAATTTCAATCATATCGGACATGTAAATGATTATTTGAATTCATACACATACACATACATAGATGCATGTGTTGATTGAATTTGAACAGCGCTCTTCATCACTCAATGTCAGACTACAATTATAAAACATGACTAAAATAGCATTTTTAAATATACATGGCATAACACAAAAATGAACTAAACTAGACATTGCCGTTTTTTTCCTTCATAAGATATTTATATATTAGCTATACTGATTATAATCTTTTATTAAATATTCTGGCTAGCCACTAGCGTCCTCTATTGAAATGGGTTTTGTTTTGTTAGTTTGTTTTCTTCTTTGGAGGATAGTAAACAGTGACTCAAGATGACGAATGAATTTTTATTATTGATTGACTGACTGACTGACGACTATTTGTACTTGCACAGCATCTCTTTCTTTTCTCCTATTGAACAAATATTTAGAAGCGCAATAATTTTTTGTCTTCATTTACGCATTTAATGGCAGAAGAAGAGTGAGCGTATATTGGGCTGCTTGGATTATTGTCGCTTTATTGATTTCTGATTACTACTTTTTTTCTCATTCTGCTATCTATTTATTTGCTCTGATTATGAATAAAGTACGTGAAGGTCATCATCAGGCTCCAACACCAATCAATGCAAAGAAGTAAACGTTTACTCATTAGATCGTTTGCTTTTGCTTATAACTTTTTATTTTGCTATATGCATCTGTTACTATTTTGTATATGCTATGATGCATTTTTATCTACGTATTATTTCATACTATTTTCAGAACTATGGCCCCAATGCATGGTGTGAAAAATGAACGTGTTAATATTCGTATTAATGAAGCAACCACAGCGAATAACATTCATAAAGCAGCTGTAACACGTGATTATATTAAGCAACCGCGACTAAGTAAAAACAATATGCAAGACATTCTTATCTTATTTTATTGACTATCTTCTAGCCTATAAGACTGTTGTTGGTGTCAATGGTCCATTAGTTATTTTAGATAATGTTAAATTTCCGAAATTTGCCGAAATCGTTAATTTAACATTACCAGATGGTACTGTACGCAGTGGGCAAATTCTTGAAGTGTCAGGATCGAAAGCCGTCGTTCAAGTATTCGAAGGAACAGCAGGCATCGATGCAAAATATACAACAGTCGAGTTTACTGGTGATATCTTACGTACTCCAGTTTCAGAAGATATGCTTGGTCGAATTTTTAATGGTTCCGGCAAACCCATTGATCGTGGTCCATCGGTATTAGCTGAAGATTATTTGGATATTAATGGTATAATTTTAAAATCTATTGCTACAGATATAGAAAGAAGTTATTTTTTAAATTAGGCGAACCTATTAATCCATTTTCTCGCGAATATCCCGAAGAAATGATTCAAACGGGTATATCAGCTATTGATGTGATGAACAGTATTGCTCGTGGCCAAAAAATTCCAATATTTTCTGCTGCTGGTTTACCACATAATGATGTAAATATTTAATAGATTTTCTTCTACTTAAAAAAAAATGAAACCTTTGAATTTAGATTGCTGCCCAAATTTGTCGTCAAGCTGGTCTTGTTAAACATGCAAAAGATGCAGTTGATGGTGATGATAATTTTGCCATTGTTTTTGCTGCTATGGGTGTAAGTCATTCGTTTTAGGAATATTCTTAAAACAAAAAAGATGAAGATTTGATTCATGTCTAGGTTAATATGGAAACAGCTCGTTTTTTTAAACAAGATTTTGAAGAGAACGGATCCATGGAAAATGTGTGTTTATTTTTAAATTTAGCCAATGATCCAACGTAAGACGAAAATGATGATTTATGTAATATTGTGTAAGCATATTTTTCTTTGATTGAAAATAGTATTGAACGTATTATTACACCACGTATTGCATTGACAACTGCAGAATTTCTTGCTTATCAATGCGATAAACATGTGCTCGTTATATTGACCGATATGAGTTCGTATGCTGAAGCTTTACGAGAAGTTTCTGCTGCTCGAGAAGAAGTACCAGGTCGTCGTGGTTTTCCCGGTTATATGTACACTGATTTAGCAACAATTTACGAACGTGCTGGGCGTGTATCTGGTCGACATGGGTCAATTACTCAAATTCCAATTTTATCTATGCCTAACGATGGTTATTTTTATATTTATTTTGTTTTGATAGAATAATTCTGTGCTGTTCTTTTGATTTAGATATTACACATCCTATTCCAGATTTAACGGGTTATATTACTGAAGGACAAATTTATGTTGATCGGCAATTACATAATCGACAGGTAAATTTGAAAAAATGAATAAAACTAAACATAGAATAAATCAATTAGATCTATCCACCAATCAACGTACTACCATCATTGTCACGTCTTATGAAATCTGCTATTGGTGAAGGTATGACACGAAAAGACCACGCTGATGTTTCAAATCAATTGGTACGAAATTCTATGAATCATTATGTAATGACGAAATTTTTTGTTTTGTTTTTGGTAATTCTTTATGTAGTACGCTAATTATGCTATTGGAAAAGATATCGCTGCAATGAAAGCTGTTGTTGGCGAAGAAGCGTTATCATCGGAGGATTTACTTTATTTAGAATTTTTAGGCAAATTTGAAAAGAATTTTCTTACCCAAGGTATTAAATGACAAAATAATCGCATTGATATGTTTTCTACATATTTGTATTTTAGGTGCCTATGAAAATCGATCCATAGCTGATTCATTGGATGTATGCTGGCAATTACTTCGAACATTTCCACGTGAAATGCTTAAACGTATTCCACATAATATTCTTCAAGAATTCTATCCACGTGATGGTGGCAAAAGCTTACAACAACCAGCGACTACTACAGGATGATGCAATACTCGATAACAATAGAGAAATTACCTTTTTATGCATTTATATATTTGACCGAAAATAAAAAAAAAAAGAGAAATCTTTATTTGTGTTTTTAATTGTGCAATATCTTATGTTTAGTCGTGCAGTCGTTCGTAAAAATAGAGACCGGTTCTTTTATTGCAAACATTCCCACCTTTATATTCCTTCTGTTCATTGTGATTCTTATCCGTTTAATTTATTTCATTTAATGTTATTACCGAAAACAAATACAAAATATCCATATGTATCATCGTCTTCTTTGTGTAACCATTTATTTCTTGGCTTCTGCTGCTTTTTTTCTTTCAACAATTCTATTTAATCAGTAAATACGCAAGAGTTCTTACGTGGACATTCTTATTTTAGATACAAAGTTATACAAAAGCAAACTAGGAAGTTTTCCTTTCGTCAAAAACTAAACAGCGTTTTATCGTATGACAGATCAAGATATTATCAATCTTCGTTCAGCCGATCCGTTCGCCGATGTAACAAGGAAAAGTGCATTGGATAGTGGAGTTAGTGCTGCTGCTGGTCAACGTAGCTCCAATGTAATACATATACGTATTCAGCAACGTAATGGAAAGAAAACATTAACTACTGTTCAGGTAAAAAGGTTTTTGGTCTACTCGATTTGTTTAATTTCTTATTGATTTTTAAGGGTATTGGTGAAGAGTTTGATAAAAAACGTCTTCTAAGCGCATTCAAAAAGAAATTTGCGTGTAACGGTACTGTTGTTGAACATCAAGAATATGGCGAAGTAATTCAACTTCAAGGTGATCAACGTATGCACGTTAGTCAATTTCTCCAGGACATCGGACTTTGTCAAGCTGACCAAATCAAAGTTCACGGCTTCTAAATACAAAGTTCATTGATTCGATATTGACAATTCTATTACTATTCAAGAAACATTCTGTTTCGATATGAGTGTTTTTATTCAATATCTTCTTTTTTTCTATATGTCCTATTTGTCATCATTCGTTTATTTCAAATATACATATATACTATATATCTACACATACACCAATACGATCTTTTCATTTTCAGAAATATATCTCTTTATATTTCTAAAATAAACTAAAAATGAATTCGAATCAAACATCTATGTTAAGTGACGAAGAGGCAACTCTTTACGATCGACAAATTCGTCTCTGGGGTGCCGATGCTCAATTAAAGTAATAGCCCAATGCAAAAAACAAGCATTTTATTTTAATCAACTATTTTCATTTCGTAGACTTCGTCAAACACATTTATTACTTATTAATGTGAATAGTTTATCGATAGAAGTATGTAAAAATTTATGTTTAGCTGGTGTTGCTAGTATAACGATATTTGATAATACACGTGTGACATCGAATGATGTTGAAGAAAATTTAACATTAACAATGTCATCAACAGAGGTTGATGAATTTAAATCAGTGTGCACATGTCGAGCTTTACAAATGTTAAATCCACGCGTACACTTAGTAGCCGAATCGACGATGACAATCGATCAAATCGATGAAAAATATATCGAACAATTTGATTATGTCTGTTTATTTAATTATTATAATTTTAAAACTATAGCCAAGCTTAATAATCTTTGTCGACAACGGGAACAAGTAGATGAAAATGGAAAAAAGCAAACTTATTTTTTTTGTGCTGCTACATTTGGATCGTATGGCTTTGCTTTTAAAGACCTTGGTGATAAATATGATTATCTTAGGTAAATATTTTTCATTGCAGCTGATGTCACGAATGAGTATGATTACCAAAGTAAATTGATTACTATCGAAATTGATTGAAATCAATAGCATACTTGCGTCCTTTCTCTCCATTAAATACCAAAAATAACTATATAATTCGACCGAGTGTTCTTTTGCGAATATGAAGTCTATACATCTTAGTTCCATCTGTAGTTTTTGTGCTACTTGCTTTTCCTTGTGTCTAGTTGCAGGTTTTTCAAAACATGACTGTTTACACGACATATAATACGTGCATCATCCGCACATCCATGAAACTTGAGTTGGTTGCGTGTGCGCCTACAAAAGAATTCTATATGAGACTAAGTTTCATAAGTGTTTACCTAAAAGTTGAAGTGCTTTAAATAGAATACAAGATCATATATCAAATAGTTGCTATCATTCACAATGGAAAACAACAATATGAAATAATTCCGTCTTTATTTTTAGTGAAAATTCATTTGGAAGCGAATCATTAATCAGAGGCGAAGGGGGCGGCAATGAATCAAAGAAAAGTGAAAAAGTTACCACAAAATCGGTAAAAGGATTTTTTTCTTTGCGAATGTCTTTCGAATTCAATTGATTTTATTTCTTTAAGATTCGTAATTATGCAACATTTGAAAAAGCACTAACCCTTGACTGGAAACCAAATCGACGACAGGCAGCGACACGCTCAGTTGTAACAACATATAATTTATTACGGGGTAATTAGATATATTATCAACGTTAAAATTGATAAGATTTAAAATGCTGTGCTTTTGTTTCATTATTTTAAAGGCCTATTGACATTCCATGAACAATATCATCGATCACCTGCATTAGCCACTCATGATGTTGATGTGCCGAATTTAATGATTATTCTAGAACAAATGACTTCATCGACTGCCGCTGCATCATCATCGTCATCGAATAATGTCAATAATGAAAAATGGAACGAAGAACTACTCAAGTTTGTAACTTTTTATAGAATGAAGACATTTTTGTAAATATTAGTATTCGATTTTTATTCAGGGATGTGTTAACAGATAACAATGCTGTTGCTTCGATTGTTGGTGGCATAATGAGCCATGATATTGTCAAAGTAAGAATTTATTCGAAATAAATTCTATATTCATTCTTTTTATGATAGGCCATTTCAAAACAAGAACCTAAAGATAACTTTTTCTTCTTCAATGGACTATCCTGTGTTGGCTTATCGATACCAATCGCTTGTTAGATAAATTCTAAGATCTCTTATTACGTGTCCATATATGTGGTTTTTTTTGTCTGTTAAAATAAAAAACAAATAAATGTTACATTTAAAATCATTGTCAAGTGTTCATCATGATTAAATTATTTCGATTATTTACAGTCATTGAACAAATTTGTGTAATCTGCACATGAAGTGGTGACAAAAACGTTTAGAAAAATAGTACTGTTGATTTTGAACAAATCATGGAAAAGATACGACTAGTTTAAATGATTTCGTCTCGTGTGATTCGGTTCAAAGATTTTTGGAAAACTATTTTTAAGTCAACCACTTTTTCGAAGACCTAAAATAGGTATTATAATGACTAATATTATGACACCAATGGCAATAGCCGTCGAAACGAAGGCAGCTAGTTTCTAGCAAAAAGAAAATGGAACGTTTAGTACAGATGAGTAGGTTTGATTTTATTTCTAGTGAACTTACTTTTCGAGACAAGTCACGTGATGTTCGCCTGATCACTGGCCTATCATCTTGTTTCGTTGGACTTTCAATAAAAGCATTATTGACATCGATGGTGTCCTGATCATTTTTTGACTCCTAAAAGAAACCGTGCATGAAATTGTCAATAAATCAGTTTATTCTAATAGAAAACTGGATTTTCATACATTCATCGTTAATGTATTGTTTAAACGTTCCATTGTTGCTCGCTTTACTTTTACAACGATTGTTTCCTGTAACTGCGTGAATTTTATACTATATCATAAAAGATTTCTACCATTAATATTCCTCTAAACGAACAGGCAATACTCTTTTTGTTGAAGGATTTTCCTCTTATCATGTGTCAGATGAAATCTATTTGATTGGTCCTACTGCCTGAGATATCTTATTCTCTGCTAAAGAGTTTAAAGAGCGCTCTCTCTCTCTCTCTCTCTCTCTCTATTAGGATAGTTCGCTTTATACAGAAAATTAATTTAGAATATTTATTTATAGTTTCTTTTTTTATTGTTAAATGATACTATTCCAGAAAGATGACAATAGACTCTTCATTCTTCAACAAATAGGAGATCATATGGCATTTAGAACACAAAGAAATCATTGTTTTATTTTTCTTTCCTGTTCTGTTTCTTTTTGAGTCAGCTATTGCAAAAGCGTGCTAGTAGATTCAGCTGTATAAAAACGGATTGACGCTTCGATATTGCCATTATGTCGCTGACGAGTCACAAGCACGGAGAAAAGAGAGAAGAGAAAGAATCATGTCGTTTTTTCGTACTTTTTTTGCTCTTTCTACGCTTTTGAATGATCAATATTATGCACAGAAGCGAAATGCAGTCCATTTATACTGAGTGGCGTCATACGTACAATTAAATAGCATTTTAACTTTTTTTTTCATGCAGACCACTAAAAATCTTTTCTAACCTATTTCATTGAGAAAAACGACAACAATACATTCGATTGATCTTTGCTTTTACGACTAATAAAATATCTTTTGTTTTTCGTTTGAGTGAAAACAAAAGAACAGTCACGAAAAATATTATTGCCTGTAAAATTGTGTATGTGCGAATAATTATTGCAGCTGAATGCATCAATAAACTTGCTTTTTCCCATAGGTTTTCCTTTTATAAAGTAAATGGCACGGTTTAACCAATCGGTATTGTACAGTAAGCAATTCATTTTAAATTGATAAAAGTAATTACTAATTAAGTTACTTTCTATAGCTATCATTGTATTTTTATCTGTGCTTTATCGAATAACAAATGTAAAAGGCGATACAGACACACCAACTCCAATAACAGGCACTCCAACTGAAACTCCATTCACCGCTGAATTTTCTTTAACATCAAATACAATTACAGTTTTAAACAGTTCCGCATCTCCTGGTACCACTACAACTACTGATATTTCAACTTTGCCATCAAACACATCAACAACAACAACTATTACTTCTATAGTGACGAGTGTAGCCACCGATGAAACGGTAACAACTGATAGTAATGCGACTAGTCCTCCAGCCGGTAAGTAAAATCAAACATATGTTTATTAATTAATAAATAATATTAATCCAGATTACAAGAATAGACTTAAGTTATTGATAAAGACTTTATTTTTCTTATTCTTTAGAACGATCAGGACCAGGCTGGTGGTTATTAGTTGCTCTTCTGATAACTATAGTTATTGTCATTATTGCTGGTATTATATTTTATTATCAACAAAAATCTCCATATAGACGGTAAGAATTATTAGTAAACTATGCTTGCTATAATTATGCACGCTCATGAATGTCTTACGTATGTGACTTATTCAGAGTCACAAACGACATAATGACAGCTTTGTTAGAATATAAATATTTATGAATCACTGCTGAAGCATAGACGACTTATTTTTTATTTAATAAAATATGACGATTTAATACTGACAATAATAGACGAGATTTATTTAAAACTTGATGTTCTTCTAAGACAACAAAACAAGAATTAGAGATAAACTTATTGACTTTTTAATATTTGAATACATGCTCTTAGCGAATGTTTTATTCTGATGGTTGCTTGATTCTTAGATGCTATTTTGCTTTGGGGATTATCGTACTTGAAATAATTACTTTTAGATTCACATCTTGTCCACAATGGTGTAGACAGTGCAACACCAGGTATATGCCTACTACTACTACTACTACTAGATCATTTAAACTAAAATTAACTATCCTTGTCTCAACTCTCTAACACTCACAACGCTTAAGTTTCGCATGAATGATCATGAGAGCTTCCTTTTTACGCTGATTGGTGATTTTTTTCTATTAGATTTCTTCGAAATTGGCGATCACATGATGATGATACAGATAATATTATTTTACAACTCGAACAATCAGACATGACCAATGATCATTGGCCACCTCGAATCTCTTTTACTTAATTATTACGTTTCTTTGTTTACCTAAATTAGATATAAATAAGAACAATTGTATTTGTGATAAAAATTTAGTATTTATTTCTGAACAATCCTTTCAATATTCAATCAGTTTTTATGGTTGACTTTTTTTATATTCAATAATTTTTTTTGTGCACCAGTCGAACATCAGTGATTTCATTGAATTATATTACGTTAAAACTATTGACAAGCTTTACGTGCAATTGAATACTTTCAATATTCTACAGATAATATCACAGTGTCAAGTACGACAATGATAAAAAACAGAAATACAATTTGCATCAAAAAGTTCTCGATTGGAATACAAGTATCGTGTGAGAAATTTTTGTCAATTGTGCATCTAGTTGTCGTCTGAAAAGGTCAAGTTATTTACCAAAAAAACAATTTTCTAGATATTTCCTGTTAATGATATTATTTTTGTTTTCTTGTTGTGGCGAAAAGATCAAACTATTTTAATATATCCAATGTGTGAATTATCATTTCTCCTATCAAGACAACCAACATGAAAGTAGATTAGTACACGATCCTATGTTACACTCCGAGAAGAACTAAAAATATTTTATTTTGAAAGCTTATTAGTATTCAGTTTGAACTCCAGTAACTCGATCGTGATCATTAACAAAAAGATGAATAATTTCAAAAGCATTGTATTACTGTAATCATTTGTTTTCCTATCGTTATTAGAAAAGTAAAATACCCTTGAGTTTTCTATGGGTACCTATAAAAAAAAAGCACGACAATAATGAGAAATAGTGGAAGGGATAAATATAAACTCATACCTAAAAATATAGCAATCCATATCTAATTTTAAAATAAATTTATATCTAATATACGATGGATTTATATCTAATTTATTAAGTAACACTACCTAACAACACAAAGTTATATCAAATTAATAATTAATTTAATAGAAAATAAATGTGGAAACTTCGGATTTCATCCGAGAGTTATGTGTACTGCAAAAAGTGCATGCGACATATGAGTCATTCTAGAATGCCTGAACACGAAAATTATCATGAGAAACTAGACAATTTGATTTCTGGATGGAGTTTTTGTGAATTTTGAGACGTTTTTCAGGCGATGTTTTGTTAGAAAGCTATGACTTAGTTCAAAACTAATATCAGATTTAGAATCAGCGTTAAAAACTGAGTCGATTTATATATGTTGTGAATAATTCTGAGAAAATTTTTTTTTTGAAAAATCCCTGTACTCCCCCTCAGGGATGGTCTGATCAAAAATGATAATTTTTTCGATAACTCAGCCATTTCTTGACGGATCCTTCTCATCTTCGAACTAGACCTAGATATTGATGAGACAATTCTGTGCACAAAATTTCAGCTCAATCGAATGTAATTGTGAAGAGTTATCGAATAAACGGACGGGCGGACGGACGGACACACTGAGCGATTCTATAGTGTACTCTTTTTTTTTTGAGTACACAAAAATAAAGATACAATTATCAATTATAACAAAAAAACACAGCAAAAAGAGAAAACTATTGCACAATTAATGCTTTTTAGCTTTAGCAACACGACCTCGTTTTCTTTTTTATCCGAATGGAATATTTTTAGCTTCCAATGGGATGCTGCATAATTTGTATCGTGCTGCTAAGCCTATAATGTGTTTACAAATATAATCTTTTAAACAAGCTGGACAAGAACATGTACTTTTTGTCCAATTTTCACTTTCATTTAAAAATTCACATTCCCAAAATGATAATTGTTCATTTTTCATAATATCAAAATCACACCAATTAACGTTTTGTTAATTTCAGATATTTAATTGAATTGAAAGACAGAATCTTTTTTAATTCAGATATTTAATTGAATTGAAAGACAGAATTTTTTTAAATTCAGATATTTAATTGATTTAAAAGATGTTGAATTACAAAATTAGATTAAACAATTTTTTTAAAGGTATCCTTTCACCAGAATAGATACTACTGTATTGAGTTAGGCAATATTGATATAATTTAGATATGGATTGTTATATTTTTAGATATTACAGTAAATGCATGCCATAGTGGAATACGTTGTTCTACCGGGAATAGTTAATCAATTAAAAGCGTGAGATATATATAACCTCCTATGAATTTTATTGAATACATATTGCTTGCGTTAGTTGAATATTAATTCGAATATTAATAATTTTGCGAATGGCTGAAAATAACAATTAAACAAGCATCTGCTGCTATCCCAACATATGTTATTATTAGATTATTTGTAATTGGTTCTACTCTAGTTATCATTGATCTTGTGTTTTACTTTAAGCGGATTAATTAGGCACTGTTTAGATAAATATCCAATGAGATGAAAAAATTCAAGAAAATTCTAAAAGACAATTTCTTATACATTTTTGTTATATGATGAAGTATGTGTCATGTATATTCAAGTCACGAAATCAATTGAATTTATCAGAAAGATTACAAACCCATCACTTTGTATGTTCATTTAGTTTAACGTTTTTTGTTTTGTGTGAAAGCTAGAAAAAATAACAACAATGACAAATACCGTGTGAAAAAAGGCAAATAATAGAGATAAGAAAAACCAATAGTTCTCAAAAATATTATGTGCAACGCTTTCGACTGTCGAGAAATCTCCATCTATTAACACCACCTCGATTTCTTCTGAGGGACTTTGATTTCTCTAAAGAATATTGATGAGATAATTTTTTTTAGCGAATAACAGCTGCGTTGCTAGACGTAGCAATAACATAATATTTAATGTGATTAGCCTGATGCCAGTTATACTTCTTAATACTACCCACCTACGACTAGTTTTTCCCAAGTCATCAAGATGATGTCCTTGAGTGATTCGTCATAGTAATCTATTGAATTACTTATTCATTGCTGTTAAATGACCTCGCACTTGCATTTTCCTAGAGGCATAGAGAAAATCGCTAAATACGATTAGATAAATAAATTAAAAAATTGTTTTTCTATTTGCACATTTTTATTGTTTACTTCGACGAAAAAAAAAGTAAATTCAAGTGCAAAGCCATTTTCTTGGATGATTTGTACATGAATACAAACGCGATTTGAGTTCGGTTAATAGAACAGAAATGTCATGAAAAGAAAATATTCTTTCAAGGCACATGAAAGCTTGATGTAAATAAAACTACAGATTATCAGTTGAATTAAATTCTACTGCTTAATAAATGTGTAGAAATCTTGTTGTTTAGAATTCGGAGGGTTCGCAATATAAATGAATTCGTTTGTTTGCTGACGTCATCACGAGAAAAATGTCTCGATGATGAAATTCATTTCGTTCCCGATCGTATAGCAGTCTGGGGAAATAAATCAAAGTAAATGTTTGGATTCTTTTACTACACTGGGAAGTATCATTCATGTTTGTTCTGTCGAAAACATTTAAATAATATCGACGTGGCGTTTCTCAAAACACACCTCTCTGAATAAGATATGTCGATGAAAACGTTCTTAGTCATACCATGAAATCTACTTAAAGGAAGACAAATGATTCACCTTGACTGTTGTTGATGGCTGGCAGTCACCCTTCTCCATTCATTTCAATTCTTTTTCTGTACTCGTTTTCTCGTTTGTTTTAATCGCCGTTAAGTCATATTTTTCTCTTCCGTCAACAACTATAGAAATAGTTACTACTACATGGCATCTAGTAATCGTGTAGACTACATAGAGAAAGTATGCACTCTACAATACGATGGACTACTAAAGGAAAATGAATCAGCACTAAATGAATATGCTGATTTTTGTTCAACGAGACAAATTTTATCTATTTTCAATTTCGATAACAAACGATTACATCTTTTTGGCAGTTCCATGTCAACTAAACAAGCTGGTAGAATATTGTATAATTATCATTTGAATATTGATTATACGGAATAATTGAGTTCTGTTTATTTCAATAGAAAAACGATTTTTTGATTTGCAAAATGAAATATTAATCAACAATATAAAACAACGAAAAATTGATGACATACTATGGTGGTATGAAACATGGGATAGTACATGGCAACAATATAATTTGAATATCAGTTCTGACATAGAACATCATTACAAAACTAATCTATCATCTGTAAGAATATTTTTTATCTTTTGAAACGATAAAAGTATAATTTTGGTTTTCATTTTGTGAATAGATTATGATTCTCAATGAGTTAGGTGAGCGAGTAAAAATTGATTTTCAGAAACTTGAAGAACTCTATGGAACACGTATCAAACGTATTCGCCGATCGAAAGTTGATCCATTGCAACCTATCCACTGGAAATTAACTCCTATGAATATGTAAGTTCAAGATTGATGCAATTTAATTTTTGTTGTTGTTGTAAACTATCATTTAGAGAACGAATTTTACTTGAACATGACTCACATGAATATAATTGGGTACAAGAAAATTTCGATAGGAAAATGAAAGGACATTATGTAAATCATATTTTATCAAAACTCTGTATATATATATATAATATACTTTGATTTTGTTTCCAGGCGAAGCTCACAAGTATTGAACGTATTCAAAATATGCGACTATTTAAACAATTTTTAATATTACATGAAGAATATTTGCATAAATATGGACAAGCCAATAACGGTACGATGCATTATTTATATCATGGATGTCCTGAGTCGGCTGCAAAGAAAATTATTGAACGAGGTTTTAATCGTAGTTATTGTGGTGTCAACGGTAAGTTTATATTCGCCCATTTAATAGATATTCAATTACGTAATGATTTTCTGATAAGGATGTGTCTATGGACGTGGAGTCTATTTTTCAAGTGACGCTAGTTATTCAGATAAATATGCAAAAGGCAATGAAAAAAACGAAAAACATATGTTTTACAGTCGTGTTCTTCTTGGTCGAAGTATGAGTACGTACAAGACTTCTTCTTCTTTTTTTTTTATAAACTGTGTTCATATATTCATTTTTGTTTTCAACTATGTAGTTGGTAATTCAACTATGTATGAACCAGAAGGTAAAAACAAAATCATCCATATACGTATAAACTTCGCTTATCAAAATATTACGTTTTTAGATGGGTATGACACGACAACAAGCGGAACTCATATCTTCGTATGTTATTACGATAGCCAGGTAAGAAATTAAATATAAAAATAAAAAAACAAGAATGAAAAATATGTTATCTGTCATTTTGAAGTGCTATCCGGAATATTTACTAACCTATGTGTGATATCGAATTGAAGGTTGACTATCGGTGTTATCAACAACTTTCACCACGTAGAATCTCCACATATCTGTAGATATGCTCGTAAGATCATAAGACGTTTTTTTTTCTTCTGAACTTTGAAACTATGACAAAACAATATTCTAGACTTGCAACAATGACATTGACTACATTTAAATGTCGAATCATAGTTTTGTTTGTTCAATCGATTTCTGGCTTTCATATTCTTGTAAATCACTTTTTTTTGTTGTCTAGTCAGGCTTTTCTATTGATGTTGTAAAGATATTAGTAATATTGATTTTCTCTAAGCAAAAATCAATAAAGTGGTAAATAACTGCGATAGCTTTTTTTATGACGAAAAGAAAAACAAAACGCGATATTAATCATAACGAATGTGATCTGATGAGTAGAGCACGGTAGGTGTCCATATGTTGTGGGTATTCACAAAAATTTGCCTAAACATAGAAACATTTCGAACGATCGGTCAGTCAATGAGATCACAGGTAAATGAAAAATAAGGAAAAGACAAAAGTCACAGTCTTGTTTGAAAAGAAAACAACGCACTAGAAAACAGTGATTATGCCGATGTTGGACGAAGGCCAAGTGTTTTTTGTTTACTTCGGAGACATATTCGTATCTGCATTAAAGATTCAAGATAACTTATGGCAAATGTATGGACAGTTGATGGACTCATAAGACTTTTTCCTAATTCGAAAAATGAATTCGAAGATTGATTATCATCATCATTCTTTTTTGTTGCTGTTGATGATGAGTCATTATTGTTGATTTCATCGGATTTGACTGTTTGTCTAGCAAATCAAAACAAATTAGTATTATTTGATGAGAATTTCTAGTTAAAATAGTGTTACTCTACGGCTCGTTTTAATTCGACTTACTTGCTAGATTGCTTTTCTACGGTTCCGCCGAGATCTTTTTCAAGTCGATCACATTCATGATCGGCTAATTTTCCTTGAGATCGAACAAATGTTTCATATTTTTGAATATTTTCTGTAATATTTGTCCATTGTTCATTGAATAAAGATTCGATTTTTTGCAATTGATTCCAGAGTTTTAATTCATTTTCATTCTCATTAGCAACAGTTGGTGCTGGTTGTTGCTCGTTTGCTTTCTTTTTTGACTTTTTCGTATTTGCCGAACGATTATTACCACTATTTTCACTGCTATCAGCCAATAACGATGTTTTATTAAATAGAGTAGCTAAAATTGATTTTATTGATAAATATAAACTATAAATATACGATATAAATTCTGTATAAACAGAATAATATTCAAGCGGTGATTGTTTGCCAGATAGATCATTGAGAAAACATAAATTATCATCAGTAGCATTTTCCGGTGTTGCTTGGCATCGTTTTTGAAACGATGTTTTTTCTAATGCTTGCAACAGTAGTTGATACGATGTTTCAAGTTGCTTTATAATTTCGGTTATAGAATGATCGATTTTATTGAAATGAACTGTTGTATTCGCTAATGTTATTGTTGCTTCTGCGGATTTATTGAATGTTAATCCATCGAGTAAAATTTGAATAAATGGTGGAATCGATTTGTATAGTTCTAGGTCAATGATAGTTTTTGTTTCACATGGAGTTATAGTTTCAACATGTTTTAAAGATTTCGTCGATTGGTCAAAGTCATCGAGTATCAATTTTAATGCATTCAAAACTTGCTCATCTGGCATACGAATAGCGGACGTTGTTGTAGAATCAATATATAATGTATGGATCAAGTTGAGTATATTGGCACGAAAATAACAGAGTATTGTTCGCTGTTGAAAATCAGCAGTTTGATATTGACGAAGAAATGAGTCTTTATAGGATGGTGATTGATATGCAGTTTGACTAGCGTTTTCGGCCAGAATTCGATCAGCATAAGATATTCGTTCAATCGATTTTGTATTATCATCAACAGCATCAAAACGTAATCGACTAAAATTCATTTCAAACACATAGATATATTTAGATCTCTACACAGTTATAGGTATTTTCCTAGAATTTCGACCTGAGATTCTGCTCAAAATGATTGTTAATCTCAAAATAATTTTATAGTTTTGCCCGATAATTTTCGTCTCTTGTTGTCTTCTGTCTGCCGTGCTCGTCACAAGTATTCGATATAGATTTTCTATTTACCGATGATCAATTTTTGACCAAACATCAAAATCACGAGTATCTTGAATTTTAAATAAATCACTATTAGCATTTTTATAAAATAACGAACGCAATGAATTATTATTTTTGTCTCTATGTTCGAATAAGCCTTGATTCGATGAATGTTTAAATAGATTAACGATAGAATGATATCGATCTCCATTTTGAATTAAATCAATTATAATCGAGCCTATTAATGATTGTATATAAATAATTGAGAAACTAAGATAATAATCCGAAAATGTACGAATTTCATTAATGCGTAAGAAATTTCCGTATTTGTAACAAAACATAATTTGACTCCATGAATCATCAGTATAAACGAGTAAAAGGTTAGTTAAATAATTAAAAAAATATCGTATTTGACGATAATTTGTATGTATACGTAAATAATGATCTGTTAATAAATAACCAAGTGAATAATATTGTATGTTTTTTATTTCAAGACGTTCAAATGTATCTTTCATTATTGTTACACAATTGAAGTTTACTGCCATTTTATAAATAAATAATTTAATATCAAAATTCGTTGTATCTTTTTCGTAGGTACGATCTAATAATGTATATAATTCCGTTTTTGATTGATTTGTTTCGTCCATTATGTTAACTATTAATAGAAGTAATTCAATAGAAAGATGTGATGGAGTTGACGATTGAATAGCTACGTCAAGTAACCGTTGAATTAATGAACGATAATTTTCTGACAACCATGAACTATGTATATCACCACATATTCGAGCGCAATAGAATATATTGATTAAATATTGTGCGTTGTTTTGACAAGTCTCCGATGTCAACTGATCAATAAGATGTTTATGAAGACGTGTTAGATCTTCAAGTGAAAGGTATTCTAATGATCGATATATATCGAACATAACTAAACTAGTAGTTTTTACTGAATAAGTCTCAATATACGAAATAATCTCTTGTAAGAATGAATCCGATAGATAACTCAAAGCCAATGAAGGTAATGTTATTGAAGTATTTTTCAGTTTTGCAAGTTGCCACCGAAGACCAAGTTCAATACGAGCCAAATGCATACTGCGCAAATCATTCGCTTCAGTAGAAACAGCTACAATATGTATTGGAAGGTAGTACTCAAAATAAAGAGAATAAAATTTCGTATCATCTTACTTAGTATGAACTCGTGAAAATCCTTTGCTAATTCTTCTTGTTTTGTACTGTCCAATTTAAAAAATGAATCGAATAAAACTTCATACCAATTCCAAAGGTAACCATCTTCAGTGAGAAATTGTTTTGCTAAACGATAAGCATTATCGAAATTGCCTGATTTAAAATTATAAATTAATAATCTATCATGTGAGAAATAAGCTGGTAACATGGATTCATTGGAAGGTGATTTTGTCAATGCATCTAAATGTTTTTCTAGAAATGTTAATGCTTTAGGAAAGTCTTCTTTTAATTCAATGGAATGTAAATATAACAAACATTCCATTTCGCCATAGGGCTTTGCTTGTTGTTGATTTTTGTCGAAGAATTCTTTTTCAAGCATTTTTGTTGCCATCGGAATATAAAGTGTTTGTTTCAATTGATTAGAATTTTCATCTATTTGCAACAGCACACTTATAACAGCCCAATTATAATATGGAATTTTTCTTGTTAGTTTATAAAGTTTTTGTGCTGTTAATACCTGATTTTTATAATCCTTTATGCGAACATATGCCATAAATAGTGAGCATAAACATTCTTCACTAGTTGGATCACGTTTCGTTGCTGCTTCGTATAGCCAAACAACTTTGTCATATTGCCGTAAATCTTTATAATATTGAGAAAAAAATGTCAATGCATTTTCATCAACATTAGATGCATCGCCAAGTGGCGCAGTGCGTGATGGAGCTGAAGCAAGCGCATCTAATTCGTTGGCTAATGTACGCGCATCTTCATGTCTTTCAAGTTTAAGTAGTACAAGACATTTCAGAGCTTTACATGCAGTAAAGTTTGCCTGTTTTTTCAATAAGCGATCGATTTCTGTTAATGCTTTACGGTAGCTACAAAAGAAAAAAATGAAACAATTAATTTAGTACTTGAAAGATTGAAATCTTCACTATCGAGTTTTATAAAGTATAGAATTTTTAGTTCTGTTATTTCTCTTAAAATCAATATTTTGAAAATGCTGCAAAAGCATACTTATGAATTTCCATGTAATCATAAATGGGACGAAGACGTCGTTCATTAACTTCCAGATGTGGATTTGCAATACGTTGAAGATCATTTTGATGTGAATGTGCTAAAGTTCTAGCATTAAGTGGTACTCCCGCTGACATCTGAAGTGAACAAAATAAAATAACAAACAATGATATATCTTAATATATATATTTTTTTCTATTTAACTGTTAAGTACAAATATTTGAGAGCAAGAGATACATGCAGAGATGAGAATGAAAGATACATAAATGCAAGTGAAAGAAGGCGAAATATGAGAAAAACAAAAGATAGGAATCACATTTATTTTTTGATAGTTTTTTGAAAATACTCTACGTATGTACATAAACACGATACATCGTCAATAAACTTTTATTTAAATTAATATAACTGGTTTTGATAGATCATTGCAAAGCTGTGCTGGTGCTATTTATCGAATTTCGTTATGAATTACGAACTTTGCCCGGAACATATTTATCATGATCAATAGCTGAATCTTGAAGGAAAACATGAAGAGAACGTTCATTTTGTGCTAATGGATGACCAGCAACTCTACGGAGAGAGGGAGAGAAAAAAAACAGTTATAATGCATTTGCTTTCCTCTTCAAATAAGATTCACATACTTATTCACAAATTGTTCAAGTCCTTTACGTCGTTCATCAATGAATTCATCTTCAAAAATACCATCGTCACGACGAAGAAATGCAGGCACTTGTCGTTTCCATGCTTTGGATGGTAATGGTGGAACAACAATCTAATGAGAATAGGTTGAAAATAAATATATTATCTATATGATTCTTACTTTACTATCACGTTCAAGTTCTTTACGTAACCATTCAAAATCTGAGTAGCGACGACGTACAGAACATTCCTTTAGACGAAATACTGGCAAATTTGTCTAGAAAAAAATTCGGTATAGAAATCCCGTTTGTAGAATGATACTTTTTTAAATTACTTTCATTCGAACTTCATAATCAGTGTACCGTTTTCCAGCAAAGCCATGTGTTTCAGGATTGAGAACTTCAATTTCAAGAAAATTAGCCGGTGGATCATAACGATCTTCAAGAGAAATCTACATAGAAATTAACTAGAAATTAAACAGATCATAATTAATCTTTTCTATTATTTACTGGTCGAGTTGGTAAACGAGCAATTTCTCGTCGATTTTCCGTATCGATGGTAGCCATCACTTTCTAAAATACATCAATCGTTTAGAAGTAAGAAACAAAATGTAAATAAAACAGTAAACAAGCACGTCATAGGTCCGTGATTCTCCTCTCCCATTTATGCTTACAATGTGTTCTATTTACTTTTCGTTCGAATTCACCGAAAATTATCCGTAGTGACATCTTAAGTTGAAACATTTCATTGGTTTATTCGGTTCGTTGCATCTAATAACCGAGAAGGTACAATAGTAAAAAAACTGCTTTCTAGATTGTGATATATGTCAAGTGTACAATTCAAAACAAAAGAAGAAACGAAGCAAATCATGTCTTCGCGTAATTTTATTTCTCATATTTTATTTTCAATTATTTATTCTATTTTAGGTGCACATGTATCTATGCGACATTTCTTATTGTTTGCTTATTCATTACCATGTTTTGCTCTTTTTTCCTGTGTTGGTTTATCTCTCTTGAAAGATTTTGAAAAATCAACTCGTACTCACTGCAATGTCTTCAATTTTCTTCCATCTATATCAGCATCGATTGGCGATTGTGAACCTCAACGTTACATCTGGCGTTTATGTTTTGCATTAGATAGTGTACCTCGTTATGCAATTGCTTTCTTACAACTTCGACGCTTATTAAATCGTCATCATATAGCTTTACAGGAAATTTATCCATTAGTTCAAATCACAAATAGTGCAATTCATATACTTGAATTAACATTTCTTCTTCTATTAACTTACATTTCATCCAATGAAATCAAATGGATTCATGAATGTTCATTTATTGGTTTTATGATTTGCTCGTTGGTACATATGCTTCTAACTGTGTTAATTGATTATTTTTGGCCACGAACAATAAATTATCGCGTAAATGATCAAGAGAAACTGACACGAGGAAAACGACTAAAATGGTTTCTTGTTAATATCATGTCTTTTTTTATTTCACTATATTTCTATTTTCGACATAATGACTATTGTGAACCAAATATCTATTCAATGTATTGTCTTTTTGAATATTTTGTTGTACTAACCAATATTGCCTATCATGCTGTTGTAATGGATGAATGGGATCAAAATGCAGGACAAATTCAATTTTTTTATTAAATAAAAAAATTAGCTAATTGGGTAGTTTGCTTTCTTTCTCATAGATTATGACAGATAATGAACCGAGTAAAAAACAAAAGTTTCGTCAAGAAACAAAAGACGAACGACGTGTTCAATTTAAAGAACGTCGTCGAAAAAAAGCCGAATCGAAACTAGTAGGATTTCGTCAATCGACACATTATATTGATTCAGCATTAACCAACGAATCCATTTATTATATTGATCCAGAATCACCTAAATTACGAAAAATTTATCCATACTTTTTCACATGGATAACACATGCAAAAGAACGTTGGTATGGACGAACGATTGAAGATATTTTTCAATATGAATTTCGTCGTTCTATATTAAAACAAAATTTCGATGATATCATACGTAACGGTCTTGTACGTATTAATGGGCAATGTATAGAGAAAGATTATATTATGAAAAATGGTGACAAACTTGAACATTTTACACATCGACATGAAGTACCGGTGATTAATCAAAAATTTAATATTCTAATTAACAATGATGATTATTTAGTTATTGATAAACCATGTTCCATACCTGTTCATGTATGTAGTCTCTATCGCTTCGAAACCATTATGTATTTGCTTTTTTTTATAGCCATGTGGAAAATATCGATTTAATACTGTATTAGCAATTCTAAATTATGAATATCAATTATCTAATCTTCGTACTGTTCATCGTTTAGATCGTATGACATCAGGTATATTAATTATGGCGAAATCAGCTGCTAAAGCACGTGTCATTGATTTTAATGCTGATCGTTCATCAACGAATAGTGTCGATAAACTTTATCTATGTCGTGTACGTGGTGAATTTCCTTACGTGGATCAAATTGTTCGTGTTGATCAACCACTTGAAACATTTTCATTTCAAATTGGTCTAACGAAAATCGGTGGTAACAAACAATGTCAAACATTGTTTCGTCGTGTTACATTTGAAGAATTAAAACAGCAACAAGAAATTCATGGAAAATATATTTTTGATTTAAATAATGAAAATATTGAAGTCACAATCGATGAATCATTACATCAATTTTTGGATCAAGATCAAACAAAAACAAGTTTAGTTTTATGTCGACCATTAAGTGGTCGAATGCATCAAATTCGTGTTCATTTACAATATTTAGGTTTTCCAATTGTTAACGATCCTCTTTATAATGCGTCCGATATTTGGGGTCCGTCCAATGGGCAATATGGTCATTATGAACATTCAAATGAATATGTTATTGAAACATTTATTAAACGACATAGTTGTGAATATTGGTTATTAAACGATATTGACAATGAAGATGAAGCAATTAATTCGAATGGTAAACGAATCGTGGAAGAAGAAGATGATGTTAAACGAATTAAAACTGAAGAAACAACAACAACAACAACAACGATTGACGTTAATGATGATAATGCAGTTAAGGCATACATAAAAGAACATTGTTATGAATGTTTAAATCGTTTTCGTGAACCATCGCCGGATGATCTTGTTATGTTTTTACATGCTTTACAATATAAAATTTCCGATGCGACTACTTTTACTAGTCCATTACCTGAGTGGGCTCAGATTTGAAAACAAACCGAATGTTGTTTTTATTTAAAGACAACGATAAAAGAAAGGGTGTATGAGATTAGCGTCACTAACAATAATGCAACATTATTGTAAGCTATTGCGATTCTTTCACTATGACCACATAGAACAGACAAATCTGTGCCCTCTTGCTTTCCTGTAATCGACGAGTTACCCATGGAGAATCACACTTATAACCATGTGCAATCAATTCGGATGTTAAATGATCAATTTCAGAAAAAAATTCTGATGATTTTCTATGAGAATGGTCATGTACATGAAATGTCTAAATTAAATAACATATTTTTGTATATTTATTTAAAAGAGATCTGTTTACCACTAATTGACCATTTACTTCCGTTCATGATAATCCAAGTTTGACATGTTTTCCTAAATATTTTATTTGATTATATCGAAAAGTTGTTGCTAGTTCATGTTCTCGCACCGACGAATAAATATTTGAAAGAAGAATTACTCCTGCTACAAGATCTTGTTTTTGATCAGGAAATAAAGATTTCATTCGATTAAATATCTTCTCAGATAAATAACGATTTCGATTATTACGTACACCGGATAATAACGATGCTAAAATAAAGGTAAATAAATAAAAAAGCAAAAAATTAATATTTCATTATAATAAATACTTACTATACATGATTACACGTGTTTTATTTGTTTTTTCATATTCACTAATCAAATTTTGTGTTTCATCAAATAGAAATAAACGACTTAAACAATCAACCTTAAATATACTATGAAATCTGAATACCCTTTAGACGGTAAATAAAAAAAAACAAGAACCGACCATCATAGTAAATATTCTTTCTGTCTTGAAAGGAATATCATTAAAAATACTCCAAGCTTCTTGTAGAAGACCCGAATGGGAACATGCATTTAAAACACAAATATGTGAAATTTCATTACGAAGGTTATTCAGTATTTTTCTATATAATTGTGTAGCTTCAGAGCCCATTCTATTGAGACAGAATGCATTAACTTTAATGTATTCTAATTGTAACATGCAGCGAAAAATGACGGGTGGAATCATTTTGTTATTATAACTATGTTTGTTTATTTTCATACATAATAAGACGCTGGGGAAGTAATGTAACTACCACTATCGGTATTGATGTATTGATTCATTAGCATGATACTTATTATAAGTTATTATGTCAAACTATGTAGCTGCCACAGCCAGTCCATCTCTGATGAAGTTGATACAACAACAACAAATTACTCGCTTCGTGGTGTCCTCAATTTATATTATCTTGCATCAATTCATACTTTCAATGACAGATGCATGACATTACTTTAAATTATATTGAATGGATTCATATTGCCTTGCGCTGATTATGATGTGTGTAACGTAGACACTTTAGACGCTAGTCAACGCATTTTAGTTTTATTACTTAAGGGTGTGTATGAAGCTACCACGAAGCATTCCAACTGATGCTTAGTAACTCCCATCAGGTAGCTTAATATTGTTAGGTTGATTCAAAATTCGAAATTCAAAAGGAAATTTTTGCTTGATAGATTGGTAAATTTGTACAAGGAAAATAACATTCGATATGTATTAAAGTCCTGAATCATTCTCATACTCATTATATCATCATGATGTGCTTATTGTCTGTACTTATAGAGATTCGATGTATTATCCAAATTTTTTTATCAAGGTTTTAGTTGAAATGGCACTCGGTATATTAATTTACCAACACTCGTATGAGATGTTGCTTGTTAAGAATGTTGGAGTTATTAGCTTGTAGTAAGCATGTTGAATTAGAATGTTCCTATTATCGTCATCAGAATCTGCAAAAATTTATAGAGGGAAAACAAGAATTCAAATCGGACATGAAATTGAAACAAGAAATTCTCTATGATCTAAATGGCTTTGATAGAGACGCGAAAAGTTAGTAGATGATCGAATGGGCCTCGCTACTTATTGGACCATTCAATTGTCTATGAAATCGTCGTTGAGAAAATACCGTTGACGATGTTCGCAGTATTGTTTCGGTTGTTGAACACATTAATTATCAAACAATTTTGAACAGCGTTTTGTTGAGTCTTTTTTATCTAGAAGATAATCTTGAAGATTTTTCGATCTTCTCGAATAGTCGAAACATAATACATTCCTTTACAAAGAGAAAAAAGGAAACAGAATATTGACTTTAAACCCAATTGCAGTCTTCTTTACTTTATCATTTGCACTGTCGAGAAAGATTTTTCTTATACTTCAATAGTTCTTTTCTGTCAGTACAGCGCATCAAAATATTCTTAGATGTAGGTGTGGGTGTGTGGTGAAAAGAAAAGACACATCCACACCTTTCTACTACTACAATGTTCATTCGTCGCGACAAACAATGAATAGTCGAGTTGAATCTCGTCGCAATTAGTTGACTTGAAATTGCTTCTCTTTTAGATATTTCTGACTATTTGCCCCAGTTCTTTCTTGAATCTATTAATCTATAAAAAGAGATATTATGATTCTGATTCTTTTCTTTTTTGAATTTAAATCAATTGAACAACTATATCAGAGTTTGCCTTGATACAATACTTGAATTCAAGTTCAACATGTATGTTTTTATCCGAGACATGAAACAATTGTCTGATGAAACGACTGCTTGAGCAAGCGTTGAAACATGTTGTGCTAACTTATATCGCTTTCGTAGAAGCATTTCAATTTATGGAAGCCCACAAAATATAAGATTAAAATATTGTCTGAATGCGTTAGACCGCATTATAACTATTGGAATTATGGGTTTAGAACAATACATGCAAAAAGTACATTGACAAAGAAGTCAGATATTTTATTTAGTTCTCTTAAAACTTGAATCCGCCAGTCAGGTTCATGACATTGTCAGGATCCCATGCTTTGCGAATGCTTTGAAGGCGTGGTACATTGTCACCGTACATCTCCGATAGAGGAGTAGTTTCCAGCGCATAATTCGGATAACGAATCTGTACCGTGCCATTGTCATTTTTCTCCTCGTTGAGTACCACTTGCATAATAGAGTCTACCGTTAATTTGATCTCATTGATAAAAAACTCATCGTCTTCGGGCAGCTCCCAGCCAAACTGGACGAGAACGGGAAGAAGGGGAGTGGCCGACGAGACATGTGGATAAGCGCCGCCCTGTGATTTGTCGAAATATGTTGACAGAAATGGCTCTGCCGTGAATACGGCGAGTGAACTCTGTCTGGAGTCAAACTTTGCGGTATTGTAAATGGTCAAGTTCTTGAGTTCTTGAAGCAATCGAGTAGTCAGGTTTGTGACTGAGACTGTATGGAAGCGGCCACTAATAATGATAAGTTATGATAGTATACATTCTGACACGCAGTCAAGTATAAAAAATATTTAATTTACTTCAAAAAAAAGATAATCTTCTAGAGTAAATGCGCTAATATGACCTTCTTCTCATATATTAGCTATAGATTGTAGGATTAAAATTCAGTGAAATAATCATACTTGGAAGTAATATCAAGTTTTCAAAACTGAAGCTACTGTTTGCTTAAACTCCATAATATTTAGCGAGCTTAATAAAGCGTTAATAAATTGACCGCAGTTTTGTACGCTGATCATTCTGGAACTAATATAACAACTAAGAGATAGGAAGGATCATGGTTTTTCAATGTTCACGAGAAAAACTATTGCTCTATATATTCAATAAATTGGTTCACACAAGAAATAGATACTTTTTGTGCGTTAAACTGTGACAGTTTTTTAAATGATAGTCTCATTCACCACTCTACGTCCGTTCGAGCCTATTGTATACTAGAAAGTTGCACCTCAATTTTTGTTAACTCCTAGATGCTTAAAAAGTTAGATAGTTTTTTATACTATAGAAAACTGAAAGATCTACAAGATGCATTTTCCACCCTGGCAGGTCTTTATACTGATCCTCATATAAACGCGTTGTTAAAAAGATTATCCAGTGTCTTGACTTCTGGAATGAATAATAATACAAGTCACTATTGCGCCATTAGTTTAGGTTCAGATTGTATTTTTCATAATTTTTATATTTCGGAAAAGAACTTTATATACTATTAGATGAAAACTAGAATCATATTCCTACGCTCAAACTATTCTCATATGACTCTATGTGAACAACTAAGCTGTTGTTCTACAAGTCTCGATATGTTTGAACAGTCATTTTTCGAGACAATTAGATATTTCCTAGAATTCACTTTTAATGATGATAGATAGTGACTCACCGCATACCTTCGGTAACGAAGACGGGTACCGCTTTAATGAATGAAAGAAATGATCGAGTTTTGAGAACGCCGACGTGAGAGATATTCATAAACTCATCGAAGGTACTTTTGGGAGCTGTCGGGGCGTCATAGAAGACAGTAAGAGCAAAGCAGATAAGTCCTGCCTGACGAAAGAACGAGGGCAACAGTTGCGCTTTAGGATCTTTGTTATTATTGTGAAAGTTAACCAAAGCTGTTAAGATGTGGTCAAATTTATGTATATCAACATAAATGAGGAGGCCACCATAGACTAGGGTTTGTGGTACAGCACGCAATTTGAAATTAGTGACGATACCAAAATTGTTGAAACCACCTTTCAGGCCGAAAAAAATGTCCGAATACGAGTCATTAGTCACGTATACAATTGTACCATTCGGACTGACAAGCTAGAAACAAAGTATAAAATGGACATGGTTTCATCGAGAAGTGTAGCTCGTTTTTCAGTTGATCTCAGCATTAATCGATTAAAAACATTCAGAGTGCATGCAAATTATTCGAAATGAGATGAATAGTGTCTCAAAGTCTCCCATAGCATTGGAATAGTTCTATGGCAAAAAGGAGTCGGAAAATTTGAAAGAGCTGTCAAACGTATATGGAAACATGAAAACGATTTCATAATTAAAATCATGCATTTAGTGTCAACATTACTGAGAGTACTCTTCTGATATTCAATTCGTTACCTCGTATCCAAGAACATTATCGATGGCGAGTCCAAATTGGTTTGATTTCCATGAATAACCACCACCCAGAGTGAATCCGGCAACACCAACACCAGAAACGCGTCCACCGACGACACTGACATTATAGGGGTCAAGTGCGCTGTACACATCGTCCCAGATGAGTCCTGAATCTACATCAACTGTCTGATTGTTGGCATGATAAATGACTTTGTGAAAGCGCCGCATGGCGATGTGAATGCCCGTTGTCGAGCTGAATCCAGGATTCAAGGTATGTCCGCCACCTTTGACAGCAAAGGGAACTTGGGTTTCACGGATAATTTTGATCTAGATATCAACTTTTACAGTATTCCAGATTATGATATATGGTAATTTCACTTACAATGGTCGCCACGTCAGCAGACGTTGCGGGTTCGACACTGCAAGCTGGGAGCGTAGTTGACGTCGTGGCATAGTGTTTGATATCGTCAATGTAACTTGGGTCGGGCCAATAGAATACTTCTGAGTCAGAGCTAATCTTGTTTTTGATACTCTCACAAATATCCAGTATTTTGGCATAGTCGTCTATAAATGAATAATTATCAGGTTATTCTCTGCATAATTTTAAAACTAAGACTATTGAATATAAACTACGAGCAAGATTCCGTGTACATTTCACATACGTTTTTTCTCTGATCTTTGGTCGTTAAACTTTGACCCGGTAACAGATATGCGACCTTCTATATATTCAACAATCTTAACACTCATTAAAAGTTCGACGCTTTAATGTCTGATAAAAAGAAAAGCTTACTCACCAGTAGAATCCTTTGTAGTAGAGATGATCGAATAAGCACTAGTGAATGTAAGCAGCATCAATAGCGTACTGTAGACGATCCACAGAGATTTCGAGACTGTAACTTGACTGTAGCATTCTCTTTATAAATATAAGAATTACCGTCACAAGCTAACTTACGTTTCGGTCATGTTTGAAAGTGCACAGATGTGAGAGTCACGTTTATTCAACTCCTTTCTACCCTCTCGCTTAGTGGAATGAAATTTTTAAAAAAAGCAAAGAGAGATAGCGAAGAAGAGAGAAAGGTGAAAAGAAAAAGGGTGCGCACAGAGCACCCAAATACTAATAGTCAAAGCCATATGAAGGTATGTGAACGACATACCTCTAATAGTCATCCCCATCGACATGAATTTGGGCCTGTACATATAAAAAAGTAGAAAAACCTGGGGACGAAAAAAAAGCAAAGAGATAATTAGTCACTATGGGCGCAAGATAAGACTGCATATTTTTGTTTCGAAAAGTGATATTGCTCGTTTACGAAGTGTGTGTGATGTCAACGTAGAAACGCATGTTGTTGTCTGTGTCGATATGTGTAACAGGTAATGTAGGATAAGAAGTTCCAAAGAATTTTAATCAGAAACAAACTTAAATTATCTATCAGAGCTTGAAGGATGGGAGAGTGGATGGCGGTATGTATTAAAATGACAGAAAGAAAAAACACCGAATAAAAAAGAGCACAAGAAATAATGTCGAATGAATAAAATAGCGAAAGCATTTATAGCGAAATATAAACTGCCGAAAAATTTAATTTTAATAGTTTTAGATGCTAAGATGAAGATTTTTTATTGTCTTATAAAATTTTAAATACACCAAAAAATGAAATGAATGAAGTATAATTAGTTATAAAATTAATACAAAGAAAATATTACTTTATGCAAAAAGTTTATTTCTTTCGCTTGACTATGGCGAGTGAGAAGTCATCTACTAATTGATCATCATCGATTTCAAAAAAGCTTTGTGTATATAAGCATATATATATATACGTATTGTATCTGTTTCTTTCTCAAATCCAATATTTTTTTAATACTGTTTCATTTTTTACTCGATATGCAAAATCGTTTTAAACTAGCAGAGGATTGCCTTTATTAGTGATAGTAAAAGATACGCTGCTTGTATTAGATGCCTTCAAAAATTATACTAAATTAACAACAATTGATGTGTGATAAAAACAAAGGAACGAAAACACGATATGGCGTATCTTTAGTTTATTTATATATTTTTTTCTTTCTTCTTGCTCATTCCTTCATCTAGATTCTACGATGATACTATTAACGAAAAGCGCTAGTCAGAGAAAATAGATAACACAAGAAAACGGAGGAATAAAATATCAGTATGGAATTAAAAACATGTTTTTTTTAATTTACGGGAAAGTATACTCTTCGCTATTTGCATATGATTGACATTTTATTTTTCGCTATTATTATGTCCGACATTTTTTCTTCGCTATTGTTTCTTTCGCTCATTTTAATGCCATTCTGGGTGGCTGGGTGAGGGCGTGAGTCAAACAACCTGCGACGCGTTTTATTTTTAGTTCGGTTAGTTCTTTTCTTTTATTTATAATTAAAACTTAATTCAACAATGTAGAGAAAACGTGACACTAGCCCATGTTTACTTTGGTTTTGATATGTAGTGTTAATCCAATCAGTGAACGTTTCGTGTCCATTTGCTTTGTAGCGTTTGCAGTGTTGCGTGTTCCTACAATTGATCTTTTATCTCTAATTGGTGTTTTGTGCAACCTATAATGAATATCCTTTTTATAAGGTACAAGGCTATTTTCATATGTAAAGTGCAACATGAGACATCTATCCCGTTTGGTTTCTTTTCCTTGATTAATTGGATCATGTTGATTGTTATCTGTTTGATCATCGATCTGTGGAGAGATGCTTGAGGGTGTGAGTGTAGATGTGTCGTGTCAGTATAAGTTCAGAGAAGAACGACACCCACACCCACACCCTTAGAAGGAATCGCTTAGAAATCTTTATGTTGTCGTTTTATTAGTAAAATAGTTGGTCACATCAGTAAAGGATTTTGGCGATTCTTTGATTTCGCAGAAACATATCCCTTACATAATTTTAACGAAGTTTCTTGATGACTTCATACGTAGATTTCGGTGGTTAGTTTGATTAACAAATAGAAACAATTTTTTGAAACGTTTTGCACGAAGAGCTGTAATCACTAAGTGTCGGTTTTCTGTCTCGTTGATAATACTTCTCATGACAATGTAAAGATGAAGAAAACTTTTCCCAATCATTCGAACCATACGATTGCCAGTTATATGTATAAATGGTTCGACCATAGCGCGAGCAGTAGCAATTGTGATGGTTTATAAAAGAATCTCTGGTTGCCAAGTCGCCATATATAGAAGTCATGTTCATGAAGGAATACAGAGATGAGAATCGAATTTGTTTTTGATCAGAGAAAGGAAGAATAAAACAACAGAAACTACATCTGATAAACGACATGATGAAAGGAGCGAAAACCAACGTTAAAGAAAGCGAACAGCGTGTGCATATATATTTAATTACATATAGGAATATAAATACTCAAAAAAGAGAAGAAAAGCGGCGATTGAATGAGAGAAAAATCAATAATACAGAAAATTTCAAAATGCACTAAAGTAATAATTAGAAAAGTCATCGAAATGTATTGTCTGCACATTACGGTTTATATAGATGAGACGATAAAAATAGATAAAACTGATTCCTAACAAATGTGCGAACAAGAAAGTAAAGCATCAATGCTAATCAGAGATCTTTGATTCTTCTAACTGTTTTTGTACCGTAGTATATTCTCTGTCGTCTTGATTATTCGGCTGCTTTTTGTCACTATCATCATTGCCACGTTCTTCATCGTCACTATAGTCACTGCTATCGTTGTTTGAGATGTCACAATATGTTTCGCGCAACTCTTGATGCAGCTCTCTTCGATTCTTCTCACGGCTATTTAAAAATGTTCGATTGTACAAATCATTAATCCTCTTCACCTTTTCTATTGCATCGTCGTTGTTGAGATATACGTTTTCGGCCGTAACAACACCATAATCCGCGTCGAGCTGGAAAACTTCCTTTAACGTCAATTCTCCACATTCAACAAGCTTTAACGCTCGTGCCTGAACAATGGCTACGGGAAGATCATACTCTTTTTCGGCACACATGCGTCGAGCGACCTCCTTTACCATGATGTGATATGCTTGTATGTTAAACTTATCCACCTCGTTAGTAGAAACTTCCCGAAAAGCATCCACCATTTGTTGTTTCCTGATAGCTTTTCCTGTCTTAGCATAGCCTAAGAGCATGCTCGCCAACTTTTTTTCTTGATCTTGATTTGCAGCTAGAGTGAGGAAGAATTGCAAAATATTGTCGTACGTACGAATTCCATTCATCCTATAGTTTCCCATGTGATTCCTACGGATTCGTTCGATTTCATACCTGTATTGAATATTTGTCCCATTCAAGTTAACGGCTTCAGTTTGATTAAGAAGCCACCAGAGAGAATTTCGCCTAATACCGAATTGATTGGAGCTCCCTAATGTTGCGCCATTGGTACACAGTGTATATGACATCTCTATCGCTCCTCGCTCAGCAGTGATGATACGACGTGGAGAGACACCTTCAATTTTCATCGGAGTGGATATTCCACAAAAGCGATTCTTAAGAAAACGAAAAACCATGTCGTGTGTGTTAACGTATGGATCGAGACGAGGACTGAAGAAACGCCACTGAACACTCCATTGGCGATCCAATTCAGTGTTGCATTTACCCAAAGTGTTTTCTGGAAAGTAAAGTCTTTGTCGTTTGTTACAAAATACTTCTTCCAAAAACTGAAGGATATGTTCGTCCTCCTTTCTGAAAATGTTGTTAGGCCATGTCCGAACCGCCCCTTCAGTCGACAATGGTGTAGGGCTACTGGGCAAATTTTCATTCTCTGAATTACTATCATCACCGTTGGATCCTTCCGTCGTCATATCTCGCTTTTCTTACCGTGTGTTGAAATTTACTTACGTGCAGAGTGTTACTTTGCAACTATTATGCCGAGTAAGAAGTAAAAAGAGTAGAAATATTTTCTTCAACTTCGCTCAAAATTATGTGTTATCGACGAGCAGCCAAAAATAACAACGGTAATGCCGATGCGTTCTCTTTTTTAAATCAAAATCAAAATCAAATACAAATATGACGTCTGCCGACGTTACGATTCTTTGGCGGTGCAACATTTTTCTTTTCTTCCGTTCTACTCTTGTATGGCAAGAAATTTCCAGTTCGAGTATTCACACCAACAAAAAGGACGCGTCAAGTGCCTAAAACAGTGAAAAACGGCCGTCGTTTTTCGCCGCTCTTCGTCAGCTCGGATCATGAGCAGTTTTTTCTCGCAAAGTCAACGACGTCATTCAAGACTGTTTCTCAAGGGGGAAAGTGCAGGTTTGGAACCCCCAGCACCTCAGCACCTTTTCAGCACCTTCAGCACCTTTTCGGCACCTTCAGCACCCGCAGCACCTTTTCTATAGCGAGATTTACTTCAGTCGTATGGAAATGAATCGGAAAAACTACTTTCATTTTCAATAGTAGAGG